GTCAGCCTCTCATTAATCTCAATATCTCCGGATCACTCGCAGTCTGTAGCAGCTTCTGACGGACACAGCTGCTAAGGCCTCTGTGCAACTCCATGGACGCGGGTCCATTGCTGTCATTGCACAGTCGGACAAGGCTCGGAGGGCTAAAGATGCCGAAAGTACCGAGAAGAAGCACTGAGTTGGAGTTGGATCTCCCAGGTTAGATGCCGCTCCAGCAGTACTGAACTCTGTTCAGGCTGGGGGGATGCAGCGAGTATACTTGAGTAGACACTTGAGAATACACTCTTGTCGTGCTCTCAGCTCCTGGACAGGTCGGCTCCTTTGTGATGCTACGTGGATTTGGAAGACCAGGAGCACTGGCTTCTGCGATCGCATGCGCGCGAATGGCGATTTTGCTGCCAGCGCTGGATTCTTTGCACTCAGGGTCTCTGATGTTTTCCCGACATCCTGCATGGCTAGACTCGCTCTTTTCAGCACCACGTGCAGTGCATGCGGCTTTGGCAGTGCTTGTTCTCGACACATGCAAGGTGGGAGCGTTTGCTTTGCTGCAGCAGTTGGCTTGCTTGGGGGTGCCGATGCTTGCTATTGGCGGTGCTCGTTTGGGTGTGACTGTCTTGGTGCCTCATGCCATGAACATAGGGAGCCTGCTGACCCTTCGTAGCTTCCAGAGACTAGGTTTGTGCGCCTCAACTCCGGACTTTGCATGCCTTGACCTGTCTTCGATATCGCATAGCTCGGCACAGTCAGGCAGTTCCTTGTCCGCTGGACGTCTTCAACTGGGCCTGGTTGCTCCAGCATTGGACTCTGTGGACGTCTGTGCTCCATCTGTTAGAAGTTTTTCCAGATCGGGTGCTGCGCCATCTGCATTGGACTCCTCGTCTTTCGAGGCATTTTCATCTGCTCAAACGTCCATGTAACTTGGCAGCACTCCACCTCTTCCTGGAGCCGGAAAGACGGGTCCACGCCTGTCAGTCCTTGACTTCAGCATAGCTGGCGCAGTGCTGCCCTCAAGAATGCTCTCTCGCTCAGAAGTTTTGCCACCTCTTCCGGACAGCACGCAAATGGGGTCGGTGCTGTCAGCACGGTCCTTCCTGCAACCTGATACAGCAGCGCCTGCGTGCGGCAACTGCCACTCCGGATCCTTTTCGCCCTTGCGCAGCTTCTCACAGCTGGGTTTGGTCGTCTTCGCTCCTGACTTCTGTGAGTTCGGTACATCCATGCCTGTGCAGAGTTGCTTGCAGCCAGATTCTAGCCTCCCCGCGTTAGATGCTGTGACCTTCGAAAGCAGCCTGTTGCTACGGAGCTTGGTGTGCGCAGGTCCAAGTTTGCCGATGCCAGACATGGCACACGTCGGATTGCCCATGGTTTTGCAGAAGCTCAGTTGGGCAGAAGCTGTCCTGCTCGCTTGTGGACTTTGTAGGCTGGAGCTGACTGTGCCAGCATGCGATTTCTGCCTGGTTGGTACTTTGTTGTTTCTTCGGCGCTTGGCCTGCCTGGGAGTTCGTCTCTCCATCGATACTCACGCTCGCCCAGATCTGTTCTTGTCTACCACTGACTTCGGGCACATTCCTTTGCTGTCTCTTCGGTGCTGTTCCCAGGTGGGCTCCCCACCGACAGCTCCCGGTTTCAGCACGTTTGACTCCTTGCTTTCTGCACTCGACTTTCTGCACTCGGGTCTGCTGATGTCCTTGCAGAGCGCGGCATGCTTGGGCTTGGCGGCCTCTATCTTGGATACTGCATCTCCAGAAGCTATTCCATCAACCCGAAGCCTTTTCCGCTTTGGCCCGCTTATGTTGCTGGTTGGCGCGTTTGCCCAGAAAGACGGTGTTTGGAACGTGGGCGAATCTTTGTTCGTGATGAGTGCTGCCCGCCCAGAATCTGGATTTCTGGTGTCTTGCTGTGCTCGGTATGGTTCCCCGATCTTGGCGTCAGATCATGCTTCTTTGGAGCTGTTGTCGTTGATTCGTAGCTTCTGCGCATGTGCCTCCGCCTTGCTGATTCTGGGCTCTGGTCGCTTGGAGGTGCCGTCTTCCGTGTCGGATTCCGGGACTGCTGGTGTTCCTGTTCCACTTCATCAGTTGGCTCGCATGGGTTCTGCCTTGCTTTTGACTAGCAGAATTGGGTTGGACTTCACACTCTCGCTCCTGGACCATGCGGTTGTGGACAGTTCTGCTTCATTGCAGCAGCTTGGATGTTCGGAGTCACCGTCTTCCGTTTCCAGACTTGCACTGGTGGGGCTTCCGGTGCCAGCTTTTGACTGCTGTCACGTGGCCTTGCCAGCATCTGCTCGGAGCCTCTCCCGCCTGGGCTTGCAGTCACCAACTCTCCAGTCCACCGAGCTGGGCCTACCGATGTCTTTGCGGTCTTGGACACAGCTAGAGGCATCACCATTCGCACTTGCCACCAGCAGAGCCGATTCCCAGCTACCATCACCAGACCGTGTGAACACTGGTTCAGCTCCATCTGCAAGGAGCTCCTGCCAACTGGACAGTCCCCCGCTGTCTTCACAGCTTGCCCGTGGAGATGACATGCTGTCGATCCTGGACCTCTTGCATCCTGGTACAGCTTTCCCTCCGCGAAACTTTGCAAAGCTGGGCACGTACGTGCTAATTTCCGGTCGCGTGCGGACAGGTCTAAGTTTTTTGCCGTGTGACCAATGCAACATGGCCAGCTCAGCACTGATGCGCAGCATGTCAAGACTCGACGTGCGCATTTCACTAGTTGAGATGGCGTGGATAGAGAGTTCAGTCTCGGTGCGAAGTTCTGCAAAGCCTGGTTCGTCTATCTTGTTAGCATCTTGGGCACGGTGTGGTACTTTCTTGGTACTTCTCGACGCGGCTCAGCTCGATCTCTCGTTGCCTTTGCAGAGCTTTGCTTGCTCAGCCTCAAGCCCCTCAGCCTTGCAATGCTTGCACATGGAAGCTCTAGTGCCTGCAAGGGCCCCTACATGGGCCGGCTTCTCTACCTTGATTGCCGGGATCACTTGTCCAGGCCTTTCATTCCCTCTGCTCGACCACGCCCACCTCAACTCCTTGATGCCACTACGTGGGTTGGCGTGTTCAGGACTTATCATGCCTGTGACAGACTCCGTCAGTGTTGACCCTGCGGTGCTTGCACGCCAAACATGCCGGCGCAGCTCATTCTTGTCCGCGTGTTGTGCGTCTCGTTCGGCTTCAGCGGCTCTTGCATTGGATTTCTTGGAATTAGAGCCGTCCCCATCCCTGCGGAACTACGCCCGACTGGAACTAGCTGTCTCAGTGTTGAGCTGGTTGGCGGCGGGATTGGCTTTCCCATCAAGGCCAGCGTTGCATCTGGGCTCTTCGTTTGCTATCTATAGCTCTCTGCAATTGGGTGAGTTCCTGCTGGCGCTTGATCTCGCTTTCCTTGACAGTCCGCTATTGCTACGCTCTTCTGCCAAACTAGAGCTGACCTCACTGCTGTTGGACATTGCGCAGACAGAGCCTCTTTTGCTCGTCCGCAATAAGTTGCAACTAGGCTTGCCCCTACTGACTGCTGGAAGTATCCGTTTTGGTGTCACAATGCCTGCATTTTCCTTTGCAGAGACGGGCTTGTTGTTGACTCTCCAGCAGCTCATTCGTCCAGAATCCTCACCACCGCCCATGGGCCATGGGCGTGGCTCCATAACGCCAGCGCTAGATCTGTCATCCTTTGGATTCGCGATGCCTCTTCGGAATTACCATCGTTCCGACTCTCCTTTGTTGTTTGCCGGCACAGCCTGTTCAGATCCTGCGTCCTTTGTGCTGGACAACGTTTGCTTTGGAAGTGTGACGTCCTTCCGCAGCTCTGTACGTTTCGGCGCCCCGACATTGCTATCTGACTCGGTCCACATTGACTTGTCCTTGCCGGTGCAGCAGCTTGCACACGCAGGCTTCACATGGGCTCAAGGACTCACCCGGCTGTGCTTATCGTTGTCTATAACCAGTTACGCTACGCTGGACCCACTGTCGCCTGCACAACAGTCTACTCGTGTATCCGAAAGACAGTCAGTGCTGGGGCGGGCGAGACTGGGCTCATTTTTGCCTGTGCCGGATCTTACGGTACTTAGCAGTTCATTCTCCGTGAGGGCAATGATGCATTTATTCGACTACCTATCCATCTACAACCATGGAATTCGGTGCAAAGGGGTGACGCCCGACAGCAGCCTGTCTGTCCGCAGCATGCAAATTTTTGATTCTTCGTCCTCCATCTTTAAGTCAATAAGGATAGAAGAGTCGCTGCTTGCCCCGGACTTCCTTCATACTGAAAGTATGACGTCGCCGCACTCACCTGCATGTGTTGGCCCAAAGCCATCCGCTCCAGATCCTTTGCATCTAGGACTCCCCTTATCACTTCAGGGCCTTGTCAGGTCGGGTTTCGCTGCAGCCGTGCCGGGGTTGGCCTCACTTGGCCCTTCCCTTCCTGCTCGCTGCTTTCAAAGGCACGGCCCCCCGATGTTTGCGCTCGGGTTGAGGCTGGACTCTTCGGCCCTGGTTCTGGATTTCGCTTCTTTGGAAGTTCTGTTGCTTCCACGCTCTTCCGCTTAAGCAGACGTGCCCGCCTTCATGCCTGACTTCTCATTCTCGGGCAGTTCTTCATCCCTGCGGCCCTGCACATGTCTTGGTGCCTTCGTGCTGGCTTCTGGCAGCGGCTTCCTGGACTCTTCAATGCTCGCCTTGGACTTCACCGGACTCGGATCCTTGCCACTTCCACGAAGCTCCACACGCAGTGGCTTGCCTGCATCTCTCCTTGCCCTGCGTTCTGAGACATGCCTACCTGCCCCAGACCTTCTGCATCCAGATGTCCCTTTGTCCTTGCGAAGCCCCGCTTGTCTGGAGCCGTCCCTTCCTGCTCTTAAGGCTTCTCATCTCGAGCCCTTTCTGTTGTCACATTCGATCTCTTGACTCGGTTCTCTCTTGCTTGCGCCGGCACGCTCTCGACCTGACAGCCTCCCTGTTTCCAGCTTTGGCAGTGTGGGGGCGCCTTTGTTAGCCCAAAGCCTCATGCGTCCCAATCCCTCGGTGTCGACGTTCTGCGCCTGTCACAAGGCGATCCCAGTCCTCGACTTCCTGCATCTTGAAAGCCCACTGTTTCCTCACAGTCCTGCTTACGCAGGTGCCGCCTTACCGGCCACCAGCATGGCCCAGCTGGATGCTTTGTTGCTGTTGCAGGCAATCTCACAATCAGATGCTTCTCCAGCGCTTTGCAGCTTGCAGCAGCTTGGTGTATTCTTGACAGTTCTCGATTCTGGATTCTCGGAGAGCTCCTCAGCCATAAGAAGCTCGGTACAGACAGACTTGCTCCTTCTTTCGTTGAGAGGTGTTCGGCTGGGATTCCTCACGTTCACTTGCGACTGCTGGAGTGTGGGGCCATTGTTGCTTCCCCGCAGCCTCGTCCAGTCGGGACAGTTCCTAGAGCTGGAGGAGCTCAAGAAGTGGAGCATCATCTCCTTGGACCTCTCGGACTTCTACCGCGGAGATGCACTTTCGCCTCTTCGAGGCGTCGCCCGTGCTGAGCCGGTGCTGCCATCTTCTGGAAGTGGCTGTTTGGATTCCTTTACTTTGGTGCTGGATCTCCACGAAGTCGGCTCGGCCCCGCTTGCGCGCGGCTCTGCCCGAGCTGAAGTGCCCTTTTCGTCTGTCGGCTTGTCCTGCGCCGGCGCCAGCTTTTTGGTTCTTGACCTTCTACACTCGGGGCCATCACCTTTTCCCAGGAGCCCTGCTTATCCAGGCGTGTCCGCAGCTACCAGTAGTTTTGCTGGTCTGGGTGCTCTGCCATTGTTGCGCAGCTTGGCCTGGACTGACAGCTTAGCACCGATGTCGGGGATACTTTGCCCAGAGCTCCACCCATCAGCGCTGGGTCTTGCTAGGATGGGCTCTGTGTTAGTACTGCAGCGATCCTCACATCTAGACACCTCCATGCTGGTGTTGGAGGCCACGCTGCTTGACAGCTCCCTTCTTTTGCGCAGCTTCGGGAGGCTCGACGTCACAATTTTGATCTTGAACTTGGCTAGAGCTGAGTTCAGCATGTTTGCACTGGACTTCCTACTTTTGGGCCTATCAACTCCGCCGCGAAGTCTCTGCAGACTGGATCCCGTGACTTTGGCATCGAGCACCAGTGGCTTAGGTCCCCCGCCTCCCTCGCAGCAACTTGTGTGGATGAGCCCATCCCTGCTGCTGCTGTCGCGCGCAAACCTCGATTTTCTCCTGGCGGTGCTGGACATGCTTGAGTTTGGCGCTGCTTCACCGATGCAGTCCACGACCTGCCTCGGCTTCAGTCTTCTCGTGTGCAGACTGGGTCTTCCAGACCTCTCTCTGCTTGTTCTGGACCTTGTCGGCTCTGGACCGTCCCTCTTCCTGCGAAACCTGGGTCACTCGGGTCCAGCCATGCCTACATGCAGGATGAGCTGCCCAGGGTCTCTCCTGTTCGTTTTGGACTTCTTGCAATTGGAGAGCCCGCTTCCCTTGCGCAGCCTCAGCTGCGCAGCGGCCGCGCTCTCCATCAAGCTTCATCGGGTGGAGCCAGGCATGCCGGCACCATGCTCCAAACTACTGGGCCCATCGCCTTCCATCAGAAGTTTTGCCTAGATCGACTCACCACCTCCTGCTTTCGGCGGCAGCTGTTTCGAAAGCACCCTGTCGGCTGCCGACTTTCTGCATTCAGGCGTTTCCTTTTCAGTCCGATCTTTCTCCTGGTCAGGCTCCGTGACTTTGGTCTACAACGTTCTGTTGGACAGTTTGCCGACCCTGCGCAGCTTCAGCCATCTGGACACATCACCTCTGCTGATACGGACAAGCTTAGGCTTGCGGCTTTCAGCTCTGGACCTTGCAATAGCAGGGTCACCTCTTTTGTTAAGGCAGCCTGCCCAACCAGAGCTCTTTTTGCCTTTGGTGCGAAGAGCCTTCCTGGGTTCGAACCCAGCTGTATTCGACGCAGTCATGATGGGCTCCTTTCCAATGCCTCAATGCCTCAGCCGCTTGGAGTTTTTGATGTCACTTCTCTCTGTTTCAAGATCGGGGTTGCCATTCCTTGCATTAGACTTTTCCCATTCCGACCCGTCTGTGCCGCTGCAGTACCTCGCTTGTGCCGGTCCAGCTGCATTCGCTAAAGGAAAGGCAGGCTTTTGCACATCGTTGCCTGCCGCAGACTCTACACAGATGGGGACCCTTCCGCTATCGCACGGCATTGGGTGGCCAGGTTTGGCCCCAATGTCTTTTGGGCTTGTGTGCTTCGATGCATTCTTGATTGTTTCAGATCCTTTGCAACTAGGTTTGTCTCTTCTTTTGCGTCAGCTTTCCTGCATGGATGCCACCTTGCTGGCAAATGGAATAGCCAGATCGGACACCAGCATGTCGGTTCTGGACTCCGTAGACCCTGGCTTGCTTCTGCCTCTCAGAAGTGTCGGCTACACTGGTTCTGCCCTCCTGCTCTTTCATTTCGGGCGATTGGACATGCCAGCATCGATCTTGGACAGTTGCCACGTCGGATCAACTCCAGCATCTGGATTGCACAGAAGATCTGACGATTGAGGATTGCTGTTTGTTGGCTTGTCGTGGTCCGGGGAAATCTGTTGCGCAGCTGAGGCACTTCGAGCGCCTGTCCGGCCTGCGTCAACTTCATCGTTGTCCGGTCTGGCCTTCAGCATGCTTAGCATGCTTAGCATGTTTTGTGCTTCATCTTAGTGGGTTTCATCGAAGCCATCTCAGCGAGTCTCAGTGTCTCTCATCGAAGCAACATGCGGATTCATGGCCGCAGAGTGCCAGCGCAGTAGGGAGTGGCACTCAAAGTGCCAGAACTGATAAGACCTAGAATCTAGTTGAATCTAGAATCTAGACCAAAGCGAAGGCTTTCGCAGCAAAGGCGCACGCGTGTTAAAGATGCACATGTTCACATGCTTGCTTATGCTTACAGATACAATCAGTTACAACCGCAGAGCAACTGGCCGACAAGCCAAGAAAAGCACATGGGGAGATGCACACGATTCACGAGACCGCGGAGTTGCACGGAGCATCACACGAAGAGCATCCGAAAGCTCACGTTTTTAGCTGAAAAAGAGGGCTATAGTTGTGTCGAATGAAAGGCACAGCATGCCTCAGTTCCACATTGCCGGTTCCGTCCTTACGGTGAGTGGCTGCTCTGGCTGCTCCGGCTTTGAGCGCAGAGCTGTGTAAAGCTGTCTTTGTTTGCTTCTCGCTTTTGCTAGGCCCTGGACACCTCGAATATGGGGCCGCCGCTGCTTGTCAGATGCCGAGAGCTAGCTTTCACCAATCAGGATCTGCTGCACTGCAGCACTTCGGCAATGATGCATTTTGCCCTTCTCCTGCTTCAGACCTATAGGCTCAGTCTGCGCAATGTTTGGCAGCCTCGATGCCCACCTTGGGAGCCGGTTGTCCCGGAAGCTTCTTTCTTGTGCCGGGCGCCTGGGTGTCAGGCACTAGTGTACCAGCAACTTGCATCGCGATCATGGGTGTCTGCCGATATGCTTTTCGTGATACTGTGGCAGTGTCAAGGCCATTCGTGATACAGCTCTGAGGTTGAGCTCCGTCCACTCGGGGTCATCGATGTCTGCACGCTCTCCTGCTTGTTTGGCTTTCATGTTGTCCATTTCCTTCCCAGCCGCAATCCCAGGGTGCTTGCAGGCTCAGCATGCTGCAGATAGATCGGGATTGCCCGGGACTGCTGTTGGTGCATCCTCGCTGAGGGAAGGTATCTTGGGTTCATTCCCCGATCTCCGTTTCCTGCACGAGCAGCTCTGCTTCAAAAAGAGTACAAGCAGAGCCAAATAGAGCCAAGTGTTCTTGTTCCCAAAAGGAACTTGCCTGGACGGGCGCAAGCTCGACGCCGATGTCGACGGCGCGCTTTGGCAGTTCCACGTCTGCGCCGGATCTTCTGAGCACCGTGCTGAGGGTGAAACGGGTGCACGACACCAAATTTGCTTTTTTTTTTGCCTTCTTTATCAAGTTTGATCTTCGGTTGCTGCTTGTGTTGTGCCAACTGCAGGCTCGGACCCGCCACTTTCGCCACGGAGTTTTTCGAGATCAAGCTCTGCAGCGGTGGCGCCTCACTGAGTCACTGAGTCACTGACCTTTTTAACCCTGATGGGATGGGACCTGGTGGGAGGTGTGATGGGGGTGTAGTGGGGTGTCCAGCAGCGCCTCGCGCCATGTCCAAGGTGTTCTCGGCTTCATATTTGGACGTTTCTTTGTTGCTGCAAGGCCGATGGTGAGCCATCCTGTCGAGGGGGTAAGCTATGGGTTACTTATCTTGCCGGGATTTGGCCTTCAGAAGTTGTGAGCAGCCTGAGCAGCATCTTGGCGTTGCAGGTGCGGGACACACTGGCAGCCATCTCAGTCATGCTGCATTTGCAGACAGTTGACACAAGTTGGCGCCAGCGCGGCTAAGCGGAGCAGGGTTGCTGACGCGCTTAGCCAAGGTGTGCCGCTGTTGCTCTCTGGACTTGTTCGGATGAGCAGCCTCACGTCTGTTCGCGACAGCGTTTGCTTGGAGCCTAGAGGGTGTGGACATGCTGTTCTAATGACCTCATGATTCTCATGATGAAGTTCGGATGCGAAGCGGCGAAGCGGTTCGAGATGCGATCTCGAGAGCTCGAGGGAGGGCTCTTGTGCAAACCGTACCAGCAACCTCACGAGCACAGCACACATCTCTGTGACGCAGCTTGTGAGGGCCTGTAGCCTCAGCGTGATCACAAGGGGTTATGTCCGAGTATGAAGTGTGACATCCCGACGGTGAATCAAACCTTGTGGGGCAGACGAACCTCCGTAAGCACAGCGGGCGAAGGCTCAAAAGTCAAAAGAGAATTAAGCCTCTGGGTTTAGTACCATGTCTACTTGCAAGATTGTATGACAGCCGCCTTGCATATCTTGCATGCTTAGAACGCACGGGACAAAACGCCACGCGTGGGCATTAAAACGCCTCACAAAGCCATCGGCCTGCAGGCGTCTCAAGGGGGTGCGTCAGAAGCGGAGGAAGCCGGCACAGCACGAGGAAGGCAAGAGACTGGTAAGTCACGGCTCCGGCAACAACAGCAGCACGCCTGCGCTATTGGCAGGCTTGAGCGCAGCACGTGCATTCTCACGCTGCAAGGCCGCGCCAGCGCCCCCGCCCGCCACAGACTTCAGGTACAAACTGCTGACCGTGCTGCTCCGAGCGCTGTCTCGCAGTGTCCTGGTGCTCGCACGTTTTTGACATCGCAAGCAAAGCGTGCTCTGGGATCCGTCATGATCCGTCCATGACCGATGGTCCAACCGTAACCACGCCTGTTTTGCCCAAACAACGAACGCACCACTCGACCACCAGCCCGTGACCCTCAACCAGAAGCCGGCTTCCCACATACTTGCCTTACTTTGCTGATGTACAAAACACAGTAGTGGACCACTTTGTTAGGGTTAGGGTCGAGGGTGGGCTGCGTTAGGGAAGGCGCGGGGTTTTGCAGGATGGGTTCTGTCGAGTGGCGGTTAGGGTGGTTAGGTGCGGTGAATGAAATTAGTACCTAGGGTGAGCATGGGTGTAGGATTGGGTCAGGTTATGGGCTACGTTAGGGAAGGCTAGGACGGGCTGGATCGGATGACGGTTAGGGTTGGTTAGGTGGTTTTAAGGATTAGGTTAGGGTTAGGAGTAGATCGGTGACGGTTAGGGTGGATAGGCGGGTAGAAATTGGGCTAGGAGAAGGTGACCTTGGGTTAGGCTCGGTCAGGGAAGGGTCGAGTGTGGGTTACGTTGGGTTACGTTGTGGAAGGCTCGGGATTTTGCAGGATGGGTCAGGCTGAGTGACGGCTAGTGTGGTTAGCTGGGGTCATGGATTAGGTAGGTAGAAGGTGACCTTGAGGGTGGGTTTAGGGAAGGCTTGGGTCGGGTGACGGCTGGGGTGGTTAGGTGGGGTTAGGTGGCAGCTTAGGCAGCAGCTTAGGCAGCAGCTTAGTATTAGGTTCAGGTGACCTTGGGTTAGGTTAGGGTCGAGGGTGGGTTACGTGATAGGGTTTGGCAGGATGGGATAGGTCGGGTGCCAGTTAGGGGGTGGCTTAGGTGGGGTGAGGGCGGGTTAGGTTAGGGTTGAGGGTGGGTTACAGTAGGGAAGCCTTAGTCAGTAGGTTTGGCAGGATGGCAGGGTGGGCTAGGTCGGGTGACGGTCGGGGTGGCTAGTTGGTCTTCGGTACGGTTAGGTGGGAGAAGGCTAGGTGAATGACCCGTCGAGGTCAGGTCGGGTTAGGGATCAGGCCAGTGCTTCGGGTGGTTAAGTAAGCCAGGTCTTTTTTAAGGTGGGACTTTACTACAACTTTAGCACTTCCTCTAGTTTCATGAACTTAAATTTGTAAAGAGCAACCAAGTTTTGGTTATGCAAGCTGAGGTCTGTTGGGAACCTTTTCGTTGGGTTTTGACATTTTTGTTGGCCATCTTGTTTGACCCTCTGTGATCCAACAGCGGAAGCATCGACGACACCGGTGCTAAGGTCAGCACGTTTCGAGTGAACGCCTTTGCTGTGGAGTCGGCACGTGCGCGACCTCTCACCTACGAAACTCTGCATGGCTAGAGGACCTAGATTAATTAGGATCGTTTTGTTCAAAGTGAGCGCTGCGCAGCCACTCCCCGTAGTCCCGACAAAGACAAATGAAGGAGAGAAATGCAGTCACGTCACACAAGAAGTAATCCTGGCTTGTCTGAGGCATTGCTCCCACGGCGCAGCTGCAGCTGCCAGCGTGGACCGTGAGTTGGGCCGTGACCTTACAACATAATAGGATAATCTTGTCCTTATCTCTCAGAAACTCTTAGTCCTAGTCCTATCAGTGCTCGCAGCATAGTAGTAAGCTGGTTGGGTCCAGGTGCCGTACGACGTTTCGTTCTGCATCGCATAGCTCGGTAAACAATACTGCCCAGGACACCGGAACAAGCGAGATCCAGTTTAAGACTGGCTCCACCAAGGCTTGCAAGATTCTAGCAGCATCATGCAGCATCTACATTGTGCAACCTGTATAACCTGTGTAGAATGCCCAATAATGCGTTGGCTGGTGCAGTGGCAGGTTCTGGCAGTCAGTGCTTCTGGAGGCTGAGCCGGGAGAAAGCATCTTCAAACATTCATGTGGAATGTGCCCCTGCCTGAACAGGCAGCTTGCACGGGACTTGGGCTTCCGAAAACATCATCAGTGCATCCGACAGCCGCCTCAAAAGAGAGGCTAGCGCTTTGTCTTGAAAGACGGGCCAAACTCTGAAAACAGTTTGAGAGCCGTTTCGCAGGTAATGCCGCTATACCGATCACTCCGTGAGAAGGAAACCTCATCAGGCAAGCAGGATGAGACCGGGCCAGCATCGCTAATCACTAGAGTTGCTGAAGCCCTTCATGAGTCCTCGTGCCGCAGTTGTTCCCCGTCGTTGCGTCAGGTGGTGATGAGAGTACTGCTTCCAGCTTGCTGCGCCGGGCAGACAGACGACACCTAGTTCTGAAGAGCTAGAGTCACGATACATTGTTGATCTCAGTGTGACTTGGAAACTTTTGTCTGAAGCTACAGCACCACTTCAAGTCGAGGGCCTCGACCAAGAATTCACCTGCCTCAGGCCTGCTTGTTGCCGATGGGCTGGATCCTCAGTCTCATCCCTAAAGCTCGAGAGTGCTCAAGTCCTGCTGGAGTCTTACTATTCTTGCCTCATCTTGCTTCATGGTCTGAACACTTCGCTTGAAACCAGAGGCCCTCCGACCCTGTCAACTTGAAGCTCGAGGCGCCCGTGACTTTGTGACGCAGAGTCGTGCTGAGTGGCGCGGTTTTATTCAGGCATCTGACGATTCTTTGCGATCCCTTCCTGGGGTGGTGCGCCGCATACCACAGCAGGCACGTATAAAGAAAGCCCGGCTCAGCAAACAACTCACATGCTGTTCCTGGTCAGTTCAGAAGTATGGGAGAGCACTCGGAGAGCACAACCCTTTTCAGGGTGGGCGCCTGGGCATTTCTCATCAGGACCTCCTGGCCGCTGGCTGCTCAGGATGTGGGACCTAACTCACGGCAAGCATGTCTGGCGCCGTCCCGTTCTGAGGTCATTACCCAGGCGGCCAAGGACAGTCAACAGAGATGGCTTCACAGCTGTGGTGAATTCAGCACAGTGCAGCACGGCGCAGCACAGCGCAGCGCAGCAAGTCTTCAGGAGCGTGAGAAGCGCCTACAAGCCTTGGAGGCGGGTGCAACATGCGAGGGACTCCGAAAGCATCCGTATCGCCACTGTGCGGCTCTATGTCACTCGGTTACTTTGACTGTGAGACTCTGCGCTTCCTTGAGCTGCTACAGGCCCAGGAGGAAGCCGAGATGACCCAGGAAGCGGAACAGGAGGGCCTGATCCAGGTGCTTATACTTAAAAATGGTAGGGGGTGCACTCGGGTTCACTCAAGTGCACTTGGATGCACTTGGATGCACTTGGATGCACTGGTGCAACATTGCCTGAAACAGGCGCTCTTCAGCCAAGTGGAGCGGCTGACCAAGCGGTTCGCCTTGCTGAGGTTCCGTATAGTTCCGCCTTTTGTGCGAATTCTGCGGTGATCGTTTGGAGGCACCGAAGCAGCAGCAGGAGACTCACGCGACTTCGATCCACGTGAAGGGCGTCACTGAGCACTGGGAGGGGACCACTTCGCGGTCAGGAACGAGGAGTTGCAACAGGAGACCGTCCCCAAGTAGGAGCTAGCTTTTGCATAGCTCGATGCTGCCGCGGACGGGGTGCAGCATTGAGCAAATTTGGGCACTCCCGCAAGGGACCATATCCAGTGAGGAGAGTCCATAGTTGGAGCCCCGGGAGCCTGACTCCTTCCCCGCATCCCGCTACTTTGAAGATGATGCCCTCAACGTGTCCTCAAGGGCTCCAAATTCATATTGAGCTGCCGACAGCAGATTCGGCCCGCGATGCACAAAGCAATGTGTTGATCTTTTCTTGTAGTGTTGGGACATGTTGGAACCGCAGGTTTCTGAAGACCTGAAGATGCCGGGGGTTTGTGGCATTTGCTCGAGGTGCCCCTGTTTGCCGCTAATTTCTCAGAGGGTGCTCAGATTTTGTGCGGCCACCACCGCCATCGCCCTGGACAGCCAAGGTCGGGTGTTTGGGTGGTTGTCGTTGAATCCAGGAATTTGTTTGTTGTCATGGAGCGTGCCGCTTCCCACCGCCGAAGCAGTGATTTTGGATGCGGCAGGGATGGGCATTTGCAATATGCAATCATGCAATCATGCAATCTCTGAAGATGCACTGCCCATGAGGCGGACAGCGGGATGTCCAAGAAGGAGAGCAGCAAGTCCGTGCTGGACCTGGAGAGGCTCGGGAAGGACCTCTCCGTGTTTCCGTTCGGAGCTGTGCGTTTCAGGTACTTGAACCAGCCAGTCAAAGTCAAGTTCTCGGGTGGACGAGAAGTCAAAGGCATTTTGAAAGGCCCGGCTGCAGTGGCAGGCAAGTGTGGCAAGTGTACGAGACATTCATGCTGTGACTTGGCAGGACATGACGCTGTAGCAAACCTAGTGCTGGATGATGTCCAGGACTTTACCGTTGTCAACTTGATGGGAAAGTGCTGCAAGTATCTGGCCAGCATGGCAACCGTAGATTTCCGCATCCTACATTCTGTAGCCAGGAATATCTTCGAGACCCAGAGGACCCATACAAGGTGCCATGTTCGAGTGTGTTTGGTTCTTGGCCCTTGTTCGAGACATCCGAGACCCTGATCGCAAGTCTCGTAGGTCTCAGACGAGACCAGAAGTCTTGGATTGGTAGTTGCACGTGGCACTTCGGAAGCTTCCTCAGCACAACCAAGAGACCTTGCCTTTGAGAGCTGAGAAATGTTGCTGAATGAAGCAGATCTGTCATCTCCACAGGTCATGCTCATATGTCCAGTGGACGGCACAGAGGAGATTGCCAATCCTTTCGCGGGTGCCTAGGCCGTCTCCTTGCATGTCGTGACACCGTGCCCTGCGGGCTTGCTGCGCTCAATTTGACTGCCATCCACCAGGCAACACGCGCGGTGACCCGGATTCTCTGAGGGAAAGTCCGGGGAGGTGCTTCCGGCTGCCATGCGCACAAGCCTCACAAGACAATGAGTCAGTCCGACTAACATATCCATGCCAGTGTTCATTACATTGCGCGATGCTTCCTGATTTGATGCGCAAAAATACACAGCCGCTGCGTTGCACATCGAGTCTCAGAAATCTACGCGGGACCCAATCACGAGCCTGGGTGTGTGCTGTAATCTATGCAGCTACACATGCCGTGGACAGCCCTTCGAACCGCGAAGTAAGGCTGCACATTATATGCAGTGAGAGGGAAGTGTGGCGAGTCGATCAAGGTGTGCCTGCTGACATGACATCACGTCGTGAGTCGTGACATGCGCAAACTTAAGCCCGGGCTCCACCTATATGCACAGCAAGTGCATGTTCATGCGCTTGTCCCATGTCCTGCCTGCTGCCCCTTTCACATCCAAGATAAACATGCAAGATGGAATGAGCTGGATGGCAATGTTTTGGATTATTACTGTAGCATTGCGATGGAAGACGCTTGTGATGTGCCAACTGTAGACACACAGCTTTGTTCTGGCCATGCCCCAGCCGAGCCCGCAGCATGCGCTTCCTGCGCAGCCTTGCTGCACTTTCCTGGTGGGTCTCTTGGCAGTGCTTCTTCGCTGTGATGAGTGTGATGAGTAGCAGTAGCAGACACTTTGCGAGGGAGCCATATACTGCAGGTCAGGTGCCGCAGAGGCGCCACCAAATGCAGTGCCCCCCCCCCCCCCCCCCCCACGATATGGGTGCACAGTGTCGATAGAAAGACATAACATATTGGCATATTCTCCTCTGAAGTCTCAAGGTACCTTCTTCTTCGGCGACCGAGTCCTGGTATGCTGACTACCAACTCAGATTCCGTCGGGCACCAACGCAGAATGCAAAGAACAGTGCATGCACTGCACCTCACTGCTGAGGTCCTGAAGATGCTGGCGCGAGGACCTCAGATCGAAAGGTGGGTTGAAAGATATTCTGAAAGCATGGGACGTAGGTGGGACATATGGTAGACTTTGAGCTGGATTCCGGATTGACAGGCCGAGCCCTTACTATGGCGGCTCTATGCGTGGCCGAGCTAGCATGCTCTGAGCATTCTCGGGTGATCCTGATGGTCCAAGAAGCGCCTCACTGCCTGACGGAATCCGATTCTTGGAGCCTTGTCCATGGCAGGCAATTTCAGGAGAGCATCGTCGACTTCGGCCAAGGGAGAGGCGCGAAGTGACGGCAGATCTTGAAAGGTTCACATCTAGTCACAATCTCGCAATCTATAGTCACATATAGTCACTACATTCACCACATTGTCAGTCATGTCACTACCAGTACAAGCGAGGAGGGCATCGGTGAGGACTCATAGGGCATGGAGGGGAAAGCAGAAGCCACCCGAGGACGGCCACCGCTGAGTGCGGCCTTCTTTGTGGTCGAAACGCTTCCGGATGAGACCCAGCAGCAGTGCCAACAGGCATGTTTATTTAAACTGACACCGCTGTCACGGTCCTGATATCTTCGCCCTGTAGCTCCTGGCAAGCCCAAACACCGCAGTGCGGCCACGGACAAGCCTGGACGCATTGAAAGGCAAGTTTCAGTGAGGCTTACAGATGCGAACCTAGCAGCTGACAGATGTAGCCTGCCATCGCGTGTAGGCACGAGACCCGCACGATGTGTGTGTCTTTTTCGACGAGTGTGGTATGCTGTCTGCACCCAGTTCAGCTCTGCGCGGCAGGATCCTGCAAGAGTGCCCTGGGCTCCTGTTGACGGCCGTGCTGCTCGTCGCAGAGGCTGCAGGCAGGTGTGGGAGATGTGGATCCATCCGAAAGCTTGTTCAAGGCACGGCTCTCTGCCGGAGGCTGCCTGGAGGCTCCAGAATCTCAGCAGCATGCGGACGTATGCCGACGCACAGATGTTTTTGTGGTAGGCAGAGAACTTGGTCCAGAAGGCTTGGCGATGGACGGCTCAGCAGTCAGGGACTCGCGGGTAAAAAGAATCATGAACACAAAAAGCGCGAGCTATAGTGCAAGCCACAGTGTCACAGTCGCTCAGGCCATCTGAAGCATCTGCTGCTTGGCTGAAAGTTCGGTTCCACATGTTCCCCCATGTCAGAGCTCATTAGAATCCATGAGAGCGTCGAGCTCCCAGGTCGAATCTTCGACTTGGTGGGAGGGCTTCTCAAGCTCCCTCAATGAGGCTGGGAATGAATGGGAATGAATGAAGTACCAACGGAATGGCAGATGAGATCCCAGGTGTCGAGGCGGGCTCCTGGCTGGGGCTTGGAGGCAGGTTGATGTCACCAGAAGCAGGAACGTGCAACTCAAATGCAATGAAAAGTGATGACATGTGTATAAGTGTAGATATAGATGTTGATGCAGATATAGATAAGTAAGTAAATAAGTACGTAAATAAATAGTATATATATATATATATATATATACATGCTACCCCCCGCCCCCCCGGCGCCTAGGTTTTACTGCAAAAGTTAGCTTTCTGCATCGCATTAACGAACACGTGCCGGAAGAATTTTACAAGGACCATCGAGTGGATGATGCTGCCATGCACGTGGGCGAAAGCGCGGCAAGGGTGACTTTACTACATTGAACTAACTACTGTCCCTAAAAAACCAATCTTTTTGTGAGGGCCTGTCTGCATAGGTCTCCAGAATTGGTTTTTTAGGTTTTTTAGGGACAGTACGGCACTTTTCGGCTTCTGGGATTGGCTTTTTAGGGACAGTACAGCACTTTCACTCAAACGAACATCATGGCATCTGGCAGTGAAGCCTAGCCCGAAACCCTAAACCCTCCAAGAGGCAACTTATCTGAGGGCGGGAACAAAAGGAGACCTAGGTACGGGGGGGGGGGGGGGGTACCATATATATATATATATGTGTGGTTCAGCGTCGAGCGTCCTGGGCCCCCCCCCCCCCCCCCCCACCATGGTATCCCCCCCCCCCCCCAGGCCTCTCTACGGTCCCTTCCCTAAACCCTAAACCCTAACCCTAACCCTAAACCCCTAAACCCTAAACCCTAAACCTAAACCTAAACCCTAAACCTAACCCTAACCTTAAAAAACCTTAAACCCTAAACCCTAAAACCCTGAACCCTAAACCCTAACCCTAAACCAACCCCAACCACACCACAGGGGGGGCGATCATCTTAGTACCCCATCCGCGGGAAAAACCCTAAACCCAACCCTAAAAAACCCTAAACCCTAAACCCTAACCCTAAACCCTAAACCCCGTAAACCCTAAACCCTAAAAAAACCCTAAAACCCTAAACCTAACCCTAAACCCTAAACCCTAAAACCCTAAACCCTAAAACCAACCCCCAACCACACGACAGGGGGGGGGGGGGGGATACCATTGGGGGGGGGGGGGGGGGGGGGGATACCATTGGGGGGGGGGGTGGGGGGTGGGGGGGGTAGGGGGGGGGGGGGGGGGTCGGGGGGGGGTAGGGGGGGTAGGGGGTAGGGTGGGGGGGTAGGGGGGGGGGGGTAGGGGGGGGGGTAGGCGGGGGGGGTAGGGGGCGGGGGTAGGGGGCCGCCGGGGCTGAATCATATATACATGTACAGCCGCCTTGTCTACACACATGTTAGTTGTACTCAAGTCGTCTTTGTTTCAGAATTCTACGTTTCTGGAACTATGTATTTTTAAGCTTGCGCTTCAGATGTAGCATGATGTAGGATGTAGCATTTTATATACAAGTGGCGTTTAATCAGTACGTCAGCAGTATCTTGTTTTTTTCAATAATTATTATGTAATGAAAGCTGCTTGTATTACAATGAAGGTTTAGTGCACATGCTAGTCGTAATCAAGTCTGTTCTGTGGTACTCATCTCTCTTATGTTAGGCTAAACGTGACGAAAATCACATACAATAGTGCAGTTCATATGAAATGAATCTTCCATTGATAAGAACAGGCTAGGATACTTCAGTTGCCTTTATAGTATTTTGTCAAAACTTTGAGTAGCACAATCATGGTTTGGATTTATGCAATGCATATTCTTAGAAACATCATAAGTTAAGATAGTTCACTAGCCTCTTCGTATAGCATTGATTCAAGATTTTAGTCTAGAACAGGCACCATGTTTCTAGAAAAGCACGCTATTCGACAGGGCTTGGGGCAAGCACTACTTCTCCAGAGAAAGGAACGAATTGTTCAGAAAGGGGCCCATGGTTGTATTTTAACATTGCATTATTTGTCTAGATTGCCAAGCACAAACACTAGTTTTTGCAATGGATCTTCTATGACTAAACACAAGCTGAGACAGTTCACTAGCCTTTTTCATGTAGTGTTAGTTCAATATTTCTCCTAGTAAGTACAGGCACCGTATATCCCAACAGGCACACTATTTGCCTAGGTTTGGGACTAGTTCTCTCTAGAAAGCAAAATCAGGCAAACCACCAAAACCAACAAAAAAAGACTAAGAAAAAACAAAATAAATCAAACAAAAGCGCCCGAACCCATAAAAACCCAAACCAACCAAAAACAGACATTCTGAGACTCTTGGAAGAAGAAAACAAAGGGAACCATTGGCCCTGACGTCAAGAGTTTTTTGTTTGGTCTTATTGGCTTTTTTGGTTTTGTGCTTTTTGGTTTGGGTGTTGTCGGTTCATCTTTCCAAGAGTCTCAATTTTTTGGTCAGTTTGTTTCGTTGTTTTGGTTTCCTGATTTTCTGGAAACTGCAAATGTAGATCTTGGAAGGGGGGGGGGCGAGCGCACATACACATATGTACATATATACATATGTATGGTAGAACATATATATGTATATATATATATATTGTAAAGCTCACTTTTTTTGTTGTATCAAGCTGCCAAGAAGGTTTTTGTAGTTGGGGGGGGGGGGGGTGGGATGTGTCTGATTGTCGAAGTGGCGCGTGTTTTGTGAGGCCCTGGGCCGCCGGGTCCTCCAAGCCCGAGCGCTTTGTCCCAGATCGGCTCCCAGAAGGGTCTTGCTTCAGAGGCGAAGAGAAAGTTGCATCTCATCAATACATAGCCTCTTACAGTTCTTTCAAAACCTTTCACGAGCTTTTGAGTACCTTGGAGTACATCGTGCTACAGTGTTTACTGCTTCCGGCAGGTGCGAGACGGCAAAGTTGGACGTGGTGGTCGCGTTTTGTAAGGAGGTGGCTGCCCAAACCGTGTTCGAGTGCCACTATAAGATTGCTGAGCCACTACGGTGTGGTGGCAGTCAAGGACCTGAGCTGGCTCGCGGACCTTGCGGATGCAAGGCGCTGGCCAGTTGTTGCCAAACATCCAACTCCATCTCTGTTTCAATGATTTTAAATGATGCACCTCCATCACGGACCAGTGCGCTGAACTGTACGACACACTGGGCGAACTTGACCCACTATCGAAGCAGGTTGTGGCTCTACGCAAAATGTGCCCCCGACACGGCGGCACTGGAAAGGCAAGGACTGCTTGGACTGCCATGCGCTCCGACCTTAGACTCCTTAGACCTCCAAACTCAAACATAGACCTCACAGGTAGGCGCGGTGAAACCATATTATGAGCCATGTAGCAATTTCCGTGGATTCCTGCAGTTGTCTGGAAGTGAAGGCCACACTGGAACAGCTTCCAAATCTCGCCATGGAGTCCTTAGCTTATGCAAGGTCCACAGCATTTTGACATATGTTGACATCGAAGTTGCATGCAGGTTGACCGGCCAGGCTGGTGACACTCGTCGTAACTGGTGACCCTCGTCGTAACTGAGGCTGTGCATCTAGAGCGCCGCTATGGCATGTATGCACAGTTCACGCTGCGAACTTATCATCTGCAGCAGAGTGCGCCCTGCAGCTGACACGGCTTTACAAGCAGCAATGGCCTTCAAGGATGTTTCTTCAAGGGGAGCCTTTTGAACACGCTCCGCGAGCACTTGTGGGAGATGTACTCTCTGCCGTACACGCACCTGGACGCAAAAGAAAATCCGGAAAATCTGAAAGACACTGGAGACTATGTCATGACTGAAACAAGCAAGATCGAGGCGGGAATCTACAAGGTGCCGTTCTTGCACCTGAACCTACGGCGCTTCCTCGCAGGGAGCAGTTTCTGCCTAAGGCGGGCGAAGCTTCTATTCTCCTGAGCCCTAATTATAGCGAAAGACGTCGTCTCTAAACCCTTTGAGCCCGGACCATCCCAAACCCACCTGAATCCAGGGACGTGTACTCGCGTCTCTTGGAAGATGAAGTGCCAGAGGTGCGTGGGCTGTGTGGGGATTCAGGAAGTTTAGTACTTGTTAGCGCAAGTGCATATTACCAGTATGTTTCCCTGGGCCACACTGCCAACATGGGACAGGCCTTTGGCTCATACTGCTGCAGCCAGTCAACGCCTCATCTATGGGTGCCGTGTGGGGACGAGAGAGAGGCACAACTCCAACTTCTGGTACCCTTAGCCATAGGAAATACACTTGTAATAGAGACTCTGAAGGCGCAAAAGGGACCATAACCTGACCTTTTGGCTTCACGGTCGGTTTCGCGACCTTGTGCAACGCAAGCCCCATGACTCGCGTAAGGTTCGTCGTCCGTTCTGACCGACTGCTGCGTCGGAGCCGCGCCTTCTACCAGCGGCTTAGCAGTATCCTGTGCCTTGGTACGTGAGCATTTGTGGTCTTTGTATGTTCGGCACTCATACATTTCAGTATCAAGCAACTTGTGCATGCACAAGACAAGCACGCATAGTAGAGAGTGGCGCCGCCCAGCAAAGTACAGTATCAGGCTGGGTGAGACACCTCTGGCTTGCGCGCAGGACAGGTGCGGAAAGGTCTGGCAAGTCATGCCATCAGCATGTTATTGCAGAGGCAAGGCTTGTCTGTTCTTTGCAAAGCCCAGGACGTGAAGTACGATCCACGACCAGGGATAGCCGTATCTGCTCTGTTTGAGCATTTGCTCTTTGGTTGCATTTGTTTTAGATGCTACATGCAAACGTCTAGTGCTGTCTTCAAAGGCCTAGCTTCCTGTGCAGGTGGCACGTCGTTTTGGGCGAACCGGCTGTTCTGACTGCCAGACGCAGCAATCCAGAGCTCCTCGCATGCAAGCCTTCAGCAGAGCCGGGAAAGGAGAACCATCAGTACCGCCACTGCTAGCCACTGCTAGCCTCTGCTAGCCACTGCTACTTCTCTCCGAGGCTCCCGCTCTTTGCACAGATCGACGTCAGTGAAGGGGAGCTGCCCGACTTCTTCACAGATAAGACATAAACAAGCATGCACACATGCGGTCAGCACGATGCCAGCTCTGGGGCTTAGGCTTACTTAGGCTTCAGGTTCGTGCAAGCGGTTCTACTTGTACCCGCCTGTTAACATGTGCAGCAATTCTGTTGCTGACCTGCGTTTAGGTGCAAGTACGTGGCAGTTTCTCACACAAGCAAGTCATGGACTTCCATTTCGGTTACTGACTTGAATTGGCTGTGGGCTTGTAGCTCGGCTCAGGCCGCAAGCGGAGCCACATTCTGAATCTGAAGACTGAAATTCCTTACAGACTTACAGCCTATACTCATCCACATCTATTGCGAGTCACTTTCCAAGATTCCCAACGGCCATGGCTGACGTGGTTATGGGAGACTCGCGAACGGAAAAGCTGCTGCTCGATGCGAAAGCTTGGCCCCTGGAGTCCTTGCAGCTTTTTCGCAAGCTGCTTCAGAACGTGCTTGACAATCCGCACGATGCCAAGTTCCGCAAACTGAAACGAAGCAACGCCCGTATCGGCAGTCTTGTGGCTGAGACCGGGGCGCGGGAGGCCTTCGAGGCTCTCGGCTGGATGTGTATTGGAGATGCCTTGGAGCTACCTGCGACTGCCAGCCTGGACTTGACGCGACAGGTTCTACAAGGAACGGAGCAGCCACCACCAGGAGAGCCCGTTGCTCTGACTGTCCTCCGCGGCGCTCTGAAATCGAATCTAAGCTCAATCTGGAAACATATCTCTGATTATCTGTCAGCTGCGAGAATTGTTCTGATGCTCTTTGCCTTCTGAGTGTTTTGTCTGTTTCAGTGTCCAAGAAAGCACGGGATCACAAGTTATTTTCAAGTTGCTTCTCAGGGATTGGGGGTAGCCAAGGAAGCTTGAGCTTCCATGTAACACCCTGTTCAGTGGCCTGGCTGCTGCGATTGAACAGAGTGAGCCACTAGGCCGTATTCCCAGAAAGAGGCAGCGGCTGTTGATTGGAGTTCCGCCGAAGCCTCTACAAGAGAGCTTCCCACACTTTGCATCCATGACCATAGCGGAGCTGGGATTGAAGGCTTTCAAACTGGAAGATACCTGGGAAGAGATGGTTGCTGATCTGCGAGCTGTTCGTGCCAGCTTTGCATCGCTGGCTTCCGTTCTGGCCTGCAAGAAGACTCTTCAGGACAATTTCGAGTTCCTGCTAGACTCGGCAAAAGCATTGCTCAAAGCGCGCGCAATGGGTATGGATGCTTCCGAACTACGCGACGCACGTGGAGTGTTTAGAGTGCTGTGGCCAGCCGGTGATCCAAGCACCAAAGAGGCGAGGCTGGCACATTGTGCTGCCTGCACACCCCTGGCAGCTCTCGCAAAAGCAGAGGATGGCTCAGCTATCCAGTTTCCTCTCCGTGTCGAACGCACGAACCTCTTCCAGAGTGCACTGGAACAAATTGGCCAAGCTTCTGCAGATGAGCTGCGAAAGCCGCTGCAGGTCTGCATCTTGGGGCCACAATCCAATCCCCTTAATGACCATGATTTCTTTATAGTTCGGCAGGGCCACAAGCTGAGGTGCAACTCCCATTTAAGTAAAATGATGTTCTCGATTGTTTTGCTGTGTTTTGTTCTATGCCTTTGAGGGCCGGTACCCAAAATTCAAAATGGTTTGCAAAGGGAGGGGGGAGGGGATGGGGGTTCCGCCCCCAACCTCCGCTATTAACTTAGGCAATGCTTCCAAAAAAGGATAGGTTCGCCATCAAGAGGTTTTCAGCACGACACAGACGAGAGCCCGATTTCGACTACAGAACGTGCGGGACGGCGAGAGTGTGACTGCGACCACAGACTACATGCGGAACCTATACTATAGCCCAGAGCTCGAGTTCGATTACAGAACGTGTGTGTGGTCTGTAGGTGGGAGGGTGGCTTTGACCATGGAATGCGTCTGCGGCATAGGCGGGAGCGCGATTCGACCTGGAACGATGTAGCCAAACCCCCAAAAAAGAGCATCCCCAGAAAAAGTGCGAAACAAAAACATCCTAAGAGCACGACTCCCGGCTCGCCGTCATTGGTTGTAGTTGGCATATGCATGGTTCAGCTGCAGGTGACCTTTGTGGGCGAAGCTGCAGAGGATGCTGGTGGCCCGCGGCGAGAGTTTTTTAACGACTTCGGTCGTGCTTGCGGGGACTGGGAGAAGGTGTGGCAGAAGACCGCTGCTGGTTCCATTGTTCCTGCTCCTGGCGCACCGGCTGATGTGTTCCGCGCCTGTGGTCGAATCTTTGGCCTTGCTCTTTGCCAAGCAGAGAATGCTGCACAAGAGCAGCGAGTTCGAGAGAACGCCACGCTACAGGAACTCTTAGCAGCGGTTACACAAGACGATGAGAACCAAGAGCAGCAGCTTCAAAAGCTCCTTGTTGGAGCGGCTCTTGCCCGACCCTTCCTGCGGTGTGTCCAGGCTGACATCCCGGAGTCTGTAGAAGAGCTACAGGCTGAACTCAATGCAGAGCAGAGCGAAAGCGCTCCGGATTTCAGGGGCTCCTCCACGTTCCTGACCTCGCAGTTGAAGGAGATGGGATTGGAAGGGCAACTGACCTTCAGCAGGGAGTTCAACGGAAGCATCGTTGATCTCACAGTCGGGGGGCGGAACATCGTCGTGACCGATGCTACAAAGCTGGATTGGCTGAGAGCTGTGCTGCGCCATGAACTTGTCGAGGTGGTTCAAGACGCGGCGGCTTCCTTCCGACAGGGGGTCTGGTCCCCATGCCCAAACACCCTAACAGCCCTAACAGCCCTAGCAGAGCATCACTCAAAGGCTCAGAGGCTCCGAGGCTCAGAGGCTCAAATTGTCAAATTGCCTAAGTGGCAGCCTAGGGGCAACCTAGGGCATAAGTTGCCACAAATCGAAGGAGACTCGGCTGAGGTCTGTGAAGCTGCAGGCGCAGCATACTTGGCGCTGCTATCCGCGGACGAACTCCAGAAGGACGTGCTGTCGTTGTGATATGTTGTGATGAGCGCAGTGCAGAATCTTGAGAGCCTTGTGTGTGTGTGTGTGGATTCTAAAGCGTTCACCATTCACCCTCTTCATCTACACGGTTCCTCCATGTCGGGCATCCGGCAAATCGTCTCTCCATTGACCCAGCTCTACTTTTTTAAAAGGCTATAAGTTGTTTGAAAGGCTTCTACGGCTTTAAGGCTCTTAGTTTGGAGAGGTCTGCTTCTTGTGATTTCGAGTACTCGAGTGGTTGTCAAGTCAAGGAGTGGTCAGGGCTCTCCTACGTCACTGACGATGCGCTCAAAATTTGGCAGGAGTGCCGTGACCCCCACATTGTGCTTGTTTTTGACTTTGATGCTGTCTGATGCTGTTTTGTTTTCGCTGACATCTAACATCGCGGCACTGCTGCTAAGGCGAGCGACTGTGAATCCAGTGCCCGCGCTGCAAGCTAACTTTGCGGGTAGTGCAGAGCTATTGTGCTTACGCAGATATCGGATGCATGCATATGCAGTGCATACAAAGCCTTGCTAAGCCCATCTGCCTGCACGGCCGGGACGGTTCAGGCTTCAAGTAGTTTCGAACAAGTCCTCTCACATGGCTGTATGTAATGTAATGCTGTGGCAAGGCGCGCAAGCAGCAGGCAGCATGGTTTTTCGAGATCTTGTGGGATGAGCGCACGCGAGATGCCCGTCCCAGCGTGCTGAAGTTTACCACAGGCGGCCGTCCAGTGCCACATACCCATCATCAGTTTCTTCAGACGTCATTCTGTCTGTGGTGTCATACTGCACCAACTTGGGAAGGTAGTGATCGGTGGCCTGCGGATACAAAGACCTTCACGTTCTATGTCGAGCCCATGGACGGTGGCGACTTTTGACAGCATGCCCAGAGAGCATGTCGCTCCTTGTGTCGTTGCCTTTCTGCTTCGAGACGAGTGACGGGGCACATGCAATCCGAGCTACCGTGCAGGAAACAGGGAGCATTGCAAAAGCTTATTTGAGCCAATTCTTGCCGACGCTTCCATACCTCACAAGTACAGCTGCTGGAGTTTTCACAAGCGACGCTTGATGATCCTCGAAAGTGTTCCCACAGGTCTGGAGGCTTTCATCCTGCAGGCATCTTCTGCCCCCCTCCCACCAAGGACGACCTTCTGCCGCGGGCAATGACTTGTGGGAATATGCTGCAGCTTCCTAGCTACACCTCGAAGGACGGTTGCTGCAATTGCTTCAAACTTGGTGCTGTGAGCGAAATTTCAAGTGAGAGGAGCAAATGCAGAGCCAGCTCCTGAAGGCATGTGAGATGGGACTTTCCATGCAGCTTGTGTAGAATTGCGCAGATCCTCGATGAAAACAGATCCGAGCCTTCACGAGCTAGGGGCTGCTATGACGTGAACCGCTTGCTTTCGATTTGGACTTAAGCTTGGTAACACGATTGGACAAGACTTGCGCGCGGGAAAGTGCTTAGGGATGCCTTGCCGATGCCATAAATACAGGGACCCCATATGGTTAGGAAGCCTCCGCCTAGCCATGGGGCACATATCCAGATGCTCGCCGAGTCAGAAGATATTTCTGGATCTTTCGGATGATTTGGGATCACGGACGATTTCGCAGGATGTCTCTGCTGTCACAGGAAAGCCCCAAGCTGTGGCACGAGCCGCACTCAATGCTGTTGGCGGCAATCAGCATGAGGCCTGTGCATTGTTGATGTCTGGAATGTCTGTGGCAATCACCGATGGCCCCTGTGAAGTGGCTAGCCTCGAGCTTGGCTGTCCGGCCTGGATTGGAGGTGAAGGAGTCATATCCTCCGTGGGCTCATTTGCGGGATCCTTCATTCTGCGTTTCCCGCGCTGCTGCCGTGACCGAGTAGATCTCCTCAGCTTGGAGACAATTGAAGTCTTCATCATCGCAGCTTCTGATGCACTGCAGGGTCCAGGTTGGGCTAGGGACGATGAGCTTTGCAGCCCAGAGATCAGCGCAGCAGAGACTCTGGTCAAATCTTGCCTACAACGCAGAACCTTCAAGCCCGGACCCGTGAGTTTTTGCTTGGAGCATGTCGAGTTGATCCTCATCCAGGTGGTGAAGAGAAGTGGCTCCCGGCCTCCACGCAACAGCCATGAATCGCCACTGGCCACTTTTCAGACGGACACCTGCCGTGTGCCGTCCGCGGAATCCCGAACATCTGGGAGTATAGCAGCTGCAGACCTTCAGTGGATGGGTGATGTCGGTGCTGGAGCCTTTGGTTCTGTGCACGTGGCACGCACAAATACAGGGACAACGGTTGCTGTGAAGCGCATTCTGGTGCAAAGTGGCCAGGAAATGCGTGAAGTGCAGATGCTGCAGAAGGCATCCCATCCCAACATCGTCAAGTTCATGGACTGGCTTAGCTGGAAAACCCCTGAAGGCAATGCTGTGCTCATTGTCATGGAGTTTTTGCCTGAGAACTTGCACGTCAGAATCAATGGCCACCCCTTATCTGCCTGGCACGTTCGCCATTTCAGCACCCAGCTGCTCACTGCAGCTGCGCATTTGGATAAATTGCGGATCTGTCATCGTGATCTGAAGCCTGAGAACATCCTCCTCAGCCAAGATGATGTACTCAAAATTTGCGACTTCGGCTCTGCTAAGTTTTTAGGCCAAGGGCCTTCCAGCAGCTATATCTGTTCTCGGTGGTGGCGAGCACCCGAATTAATCCTCGGCGCGAGCGATTACACAACAAGTATTGACTGGTGGTCATGCGGTTGCATAATCGCCGAAATGATGTCTGGACAGCCTCTATTTACAGGTGATTCCAGCTGGGGTCAGATGTACGCCATTGTTCGAATCCTTGGAACACCAACCCAACGTGAAATGCAAAGCTTGATGCCAGAGCAGGGTGGGCAACGTCTGGCTCAACATTTCGCAAGCCTTGTGAAGCTTCGGCGTTGCGGCAGGCGCGCGTGTGCTTTAGTTCAGAAATTTAGCATTTAGAGCTGCCGTTCTTGTTAACTCGTGCAAGCAAGTGTGCACAAGTGGATGTAAGACATAGATAGAGATGGAGCACTGATGGAGCACTATCGGCAGGCCCTGGGCGGAGCTCCTTCCAGCCTTTGCTCATCTACCTGGCAGCCTAGCAATTCCGCGCAAGCTGCTGGCATACTGCCCAAAGGATCGTTGCCACCCGGCCGCTTTACTCTCAGCACCCTTCTTGTCTCGAAGCAGAGAGATGGTGTCGAAAATATCGAAACCCGATGCAGCACAGCGAGTGCCACGACCCAAGCGGAGGCACCAGGTTATTGCTGTCGATTCTGTGGAGCCCAGAAATCCTAAACGACAGTGCTTCCTAGTGTCCGCTTGAAAGAGGAGTAGATGGTACACACGTGCTGACGATTGCTACTGCCTGGGTAGGAAAGCATCGCACCTTAGTGATCCAGATGCAAAGTTAGAAGCGCAGAGCTCAAGAAGTCAAGGCCTACCCAGGGTACCAGCGAGCATGTGTGCACATGCACAATCATCCTGCCATATTTGTTCCTGGGCCCAAGTACAGGAGGGTCCTGAGAGCAAAGTGACGGATTGCTCATTCGTTGCGGGATGACTTAACGTTCTTTACGTAAATTTTGTGTAGCGACCACGGCCTCCACAAGCCGAGCATCCGCTCAAAAAGCAGAAAACGAAGAGGCTGCAGGCTGCGTCATGGTGCCTCGTCTTAGCTCTTCATGAGGCTGCATCAAGTTTGCGCATTGATATAATTCTTGGCGAGAACGGAGCTGAAGCTGATGGTGTCCTGCAGTACTGAGTGTGCCACCTCATCTCGCTTTAGCCACATGTAGCCCTTTGCATACCCGGACATGCCCGTGAGTGCTGTGTGTTACCTAGATCCACCTAGCTTCTTGAGCAGCGCCATGGATGCTGACACGGACATGGCGACGTCAGAGTCGGGCTTTGAAGAGCAAAAACAGGCGGAAACCTAGAGCTGCAGAGCATTGGAGAGCTTAAGAGGTCGGTCAGGTCAGGAATTTTGGGCAGGACAGATGGTTTCCTTGCGCCGGCTGCGACTTGATCGTGACCTGTCTAGCCTCTCGGCCCCAAGCAGCCGTCCCTAGAAGACAGGCTCTATCTATGAACCGGGATGTTTCTTTGACCATAGGTTCGAGCAGGGCACCCACATCCAGGCAAGGCTTTCAAAGTACGTTGCATGAAGCCCGAAGTGCTGTAACCAGTTGGACCGCACGGATCCGAGCAACAGTGACGTCAGGCACGCACCACTACTACTCGTACACGCACTGCTGTAAGGCGTGCGAGGAAGGGCCTCTTGGCTGTGACTGTCAGTGCGGCAGGCGCAAGTGGAAGCATGTCCGTCAATGCAAGATAGCTCAAACTTGCAACGGCCCAGCTATCAAAGGCAAGGACATTCAGAAGACCAGTGGGCATGTGCCAGTGTGCCCAGCTCGCTTTTCCGCACGGTTTCCTGTCTGCCATGTAGCCAGAGTCTTGAAAAGCTTCTCGAAGAGCTTGAGATGTACGAGTGATGTACATCTGGTGCCCGCAGATCTGCAAGCGAGGTTGAGTTCGATGGCCGGAAGCAACACTATCTGCTGCACGACCCTGGCTCACAGAAGCCATTGCCCGTTCTGCTATTCCTGTCGCTTGACTTGTTGGCCCTTGTCGTGGTCTATTTGGAGCAGTAAAGTAATGTAAAGTACTTGTTGAGGCAGGCCCTTGGGTGCACTTGGCCTGTGCCGGACAGAATCAGGAGCTGCAGCTATTGTACCCAGGCATGGCGCCCACACTTACATCTACCCAGCGCCTGAGCTCAACAAGCAGAAGACAGGGCTGTTCCGCTGCGTCCGTAGAGCTGCGCGTAAGTTCTCAAGGAGACATTGTGGTGGGACGTTCGGAATCTGTTGGAGAACAACCAGAAAGCCCGTTCGGACCTTAAATCGAAGCTCAGAAGGGCCTTCTGTTCCGCGAGAGCGCCTGGAAGGTGAGGAGTTCATCGTCCTTGCCCCGTTCGGCTCTGTTGGAGAGATCTCGAGCTGCACGTGGTGGCACGGAGGGTGTTTGCTTAAGCTACCCAGCTACCCGTACATTGGAACGTCTCGAAAGTCTCGACGTCGGAATGCTGCCTGATAGTAAAGCGAGTTGAACTGTTGACGGTTGGGTCGCTTCAGAAGGTTTTAGGAGTGAAGTCCATATGACCAATCCGGCCCATCAGAGGCTCCATAGGGAAGACATGTCTGAAGTGTTCCAATTGAGAGAGACGAGTGTGCCCCGGAGTGTGCCCCGGAGTGTGCCCTAGTGTTCCTTGCATGCTCTCCTGATCTCTCCCGCGTGCCCCAGGCCTGTGGTGCATCCCTCGGAGTGGATGAAGAGGAATCGCTTTCAAATCGAGGAGCCCCATCTTCTGCTTTCATCTTTAAGATCTTTAAGCAAAGGCCACGTGTAGTGTGTTTTGCTGTCGCTGTGCCTCCAGCGCAGGAGCCTTACGTGAAGTGCTTCGACGTCGAAATTCTTTGGAGCTTTTTCCTTGCAGCTCTCAGGGATTTGGGAAGCAGCCGCAGCCTTACGTCTTAAGAGATGTCAAAAAAGAGCCATGGCTTGGGCCGTCACCGGGTGACTGAGGAGCAGATCTCGCTCAGTTACATGTGACCGGCTACAGCATGGGAGGGCAGGCACGAGACGCGACCATTTCATAGCGAGGGAGGGCTACTTGTCCACAAGCTACATATATGCTTCCTAAACTCAAAAGCCTCAGATATTCTTAAACTGATGCCAAGCGCACAACGTGGAACAAGGGCCACCATTGGCACAGAAAAGGTTTCAGAAGCCAAGGTGTCCAAGGTTTCGGTTTTCCAAATTTTAACCCACACTTTCTCACCGTTTTCTGGTCTCGAGGCCACCTGGGGTCTTGCCAGCCGCTTCGGCTCTCGCCTGGCCTCGGTTGCCCCCATGGCAGCGTGCTGTGCCTGGGCAGCCGACGCCTGGGACCACGAGGACCTGAAGAGTGCAAAACGAGCGAGAGAAAGAGAGAGAGAGAGAGAGAGACAGTCTCCGTTCCTGGGCAGAAGAAGAAGAAGAAGAAGCAGAAGAAGAAGAACAGAGAGATCCTCCCTGCGCTGGGGCCAATTCTCCCCGAGGGACGTAGAAGAGGGGCGTGCAGCAGCACGGGCGTTTCCCCTATGCCCCAAAGAAAGAAGGAAAGAAAGAAAGACGCGAGCGAGAGAGAGAGAGAGAGTGAACACACAACAAAAAGCAAAGCCCCCAAAGACATGCAGGTGGAAACACCAGAAACACCAGAAATCATCCCATGGCCGCAACCCTCCCAAGCACCACGACGAGAATAACCATCACAACCACCATGACCGGCACAAGAACCATCTCCACTACCACACCCACCAAAAAGCCCGATTTCAATATTCAAAGGGACACGAGGAGAACGTGAAGAACGGCAAGATCAACGAGCCAAAGGCGCACTACGCCGAAGCCCACGACTACCAGACCAACCGCCCACCCTGACCCAAGCACGCCTGGAAGGAACACAGCCCAGAGAAGCACAGCCCACACCACAAGCGGACACTCACCACGCAGACGGGGCGACCACACAAGTGAGGGAAGTGAACGAGAACTACAAGACCAACGAGCTGGAGAAGTACTACACCAAAACCACACAGCCAAGCCAACACGATTACGACGACGACGACGACGCCACCAACTACAAGAACAAAAAGCAATGGGGGAGAACAGTGAGCCAACAGTGAGGGAGCACAGCAGTTTCACAACAAGACCCGCCGTAAAGCCCATGAACTTGTTAAAGGGAGTGTTCGTCTTTCAGGGCTTGTGTGATGGTGTCTGTTGTCAAGACTTCCCCTTCGGTGTTGTTAACAGTCACGCCCCTTTAAAAGGTCGTTGCCTTGGAGAAAGAACTCACAAGTGCCAGGGCAATGTCCGAAAAGAGCGGCAATAAGTCCTGTTGAAGGTTAACTTATGGTATAGGTCTTGAATCACGACATGATACTGACTCACTCGCACTGCAAATTTCACTTTCGAAAATGCTGCCGCGTGATTCACTTGCAAGGTAGAAAGAGCACTTCAAAGTGCTGAGGCAATGTCCTCGTGTGGACAGGGTGGGAGATTTGGGGAGTAAAGCATTCTGATTTTGACTGGTTGGGGAGCCCACCACAAAGCACCAGTGTCGCACAGACTAACCAAGTGGAGCGCGGCCTTCGGGGTAACCCCCTCTGGGGGTTATGTGCACTGGAAGGAAGGAAGGAGGGAAGGAAGGAGGGAAGGAAGGAGGGAAGGAAGGAGGGAAGGAAGGAGGGAAGGAAGGAGGGAAGGAAGGAGGGAAGGAAGGAGGGAAGGAAGGAGGGAAGGAAGGAGGGAAGGAAGGAGGGAAGGAAGGAGGGAAGGAAGGAAGTGAGCGAGAAACAAACCAAACCTCCCTAACGCCTCCAACTAGTCTTTCGTCCACCACCGCGCGTCATCCGGTGACAGCCTAACCTGGACTTTCTACGCTAAGCGAAGAGGGTATCCGCATTCCGCACTACTTTTCGGTGTTTTCTGCTACAGGATACAGCTATGCAGACGCAACGGAACAGTACTGGCGGCTAAACGAGGGGGTCCCTCGGGATGTTCTCAAGATCCATGAGGTGTGCAGAAGAAGACCTGGAGAGGAATAGAAGCTAGTTGAAAGACAGCATAATGCAGCACAAGAAGCCAGTTGGTACAAAGTGCTTCTCGCGAGGCCGCCATCCTGCAAGAGCTGGGGAAGCCCCTTGGCATCCCTTGGCAGATACATCCGCGTTCCCCAACTTCTCGGAGCCTCGGGATTTGTTTGCTGGAGGCTGCCGCTCTGGTTCTTCGCTGGTGAGGCCGGGATTTGATCTTGCTCTGCCACATGAGGGGCCAAGTTGCAATCTACGATGCCACGATGTTGCGAGCCGGCATCGAGGAGGATGTTCGGACCGTATCTTGGCGAGACTTCTGGTGGTTGGCTGACAAGCGCGGATACCCTACGAGCCACGGCAGCATTCCTGCCAGCAGTTATTCTGTGAAGCCGAGTCATGCTTCACAAGCAATACAAGCATTTCCAGGGTCTGCTTGAACAGTTGGAACATGTTGGAATGACTCTTCTGCGCTCATCCCTTTAGCCGGACTCCACTATGCATGTCGTGCAATATGTGAACGCTAAGGAAGGCCCCAACTCAGGAGATCCAAGTGGAGGGGCAAGGCGTGGCACCTGTAATTCGTAGTGTTGTCGCCGTTGTGTCGTGGACTTGGGCGCATGCCGTGCTGTATGACAGGAGTTGGAGCGACTCTGCATGATTGGGCCCCGGATCTTCAGCTGGCCCTCCTTCGCGGTACACGGACCAGCAGCTTTGGTTTTATTGAAGTGGTTCTGATTCAGTTCTGATACTTCTTGTTCGTTGCTTGGAGGCTTGGAGGGTTACCGCTCCAGCTGCAGGCCACAGCATCTGGGATCCCGTCTACCACAACGAGGCCTTTAAGGGGGGAACCGTCGACTGCTGCGAGTGCATCGTAAGGATCCAAGTCATTTACTATCTACGGGCCGCTGGTAGGACTCCTTGAAATGACGAGGGCATGCTGCATCTGCGATTTCATCTGCACGATGAGGCCTCTGAGGCCCTGAAGGTCCATGTGAAACGCGTTGCGAGGATCTACTATGATTGACGCATACTGAGGCATACTGTTTTTGGATGAGCGGTCATGAGCGGTCCTAGATGCCTGGGATACCGGGCGGGACAGATCTGCGCAGGCTAACTTCGGACTTTTTACACGAATGGCCGCTGCTCGCTGCCCATCTCCGATGACGGCTCTGGCAGAAGGACGAACGCCATGCCCAGCACCAGCACCGTCATAGAGGCTGCGGGTGCCGAAAGGACTCCCCAAAAGTTTCAGAAAAAACCCGAAAGCCTGGAGATTCCTTCGGTGCTCTAGGCTTACGCCATTGCCGCAGACTGCCAGTTTGTTCAGCGGCGCCGCACCTGAGGTGCTTAGGTGGTTGGGGCGTCTGAGTCTGGGCTCTTAGGGTTCAGAGACAGGCCTTGAGTTGAGAGAGGAAACCGAAGCCCGATGCAAGTCCGACTTGCCAAGCGTCGGTTTCTTGCACTTGTGGCGGTCTTCCCCTAAGCGGTTTACAATGCTTAAGGTATGGGCAGGGAATTTAACAGCGACAGAAGCTTGCAATGGGAGGGACTGGGGGTTGCCAGTGCGTTCTTGCTTTTCCGATATCTTTCAGAATGCATCTGGACGGGGGCCGCTCTCAGATTCGAGTTGGGCAAGCAGCGCTTCGATGCGTGTGCAGGTCATGACAGCCAGGGTCGGCAGAAACACCATGAGGCATCAGCAGTTGCTTGTTTCATGTCGGGATACATACCCTTGTATGAGCTGAAAGGGCCTGCTATCAAGATGTGGCTCAAGTTGACCCCTGGAGCAGTTAAGTCAGCAGGAAAAAGAACTCAATAATATGATTCAATAATGACTTTCCTCATTTAAGACTGGCTCGCGGTCCTGAATCAACAACTGTGCAAGAGAGGCCTGCCGGGCCTACAGGGCCTACCCGGCGCTTGAAGACTCCTCCCCCTGCATGGAGCAGAATCAGAACCTCTGCTGCACCAATGCGTTCCTGCTCTGCCTCGGTGGCTTGGCCATTTTCAATGCCAGGGTGTGGTTCAGCTTGTGGGGTTTGATGGTTTCCGCTGGACCTCCGAAAGCCTGATTCCTCCTTTGAGGATTATTCAAACAGACAGCTGTTGCATTGAGAATCGAATAACATACGGGCTTCCACAGAAATTCCACCGTAGCATGAAAACCCTAACACAAAACGGCGTAGACGCATCCAAACGTGCTGAAGCCTCAAACGCAAAGGAGCAGGCGAGACCATCTTTCCGGCAGCAGCTGCGTCCATGAGGCGGGTGAAGGGTGCGGTAGAGGTTGAGCATTTCTCTCACCGAAGCTTCACGAAGCGCTTATAAATCGTTCACCAAAGAGTTTTTCCTCGTACGCCAAAACTTCAGAGCAGCATCGCAGCTGCAGCGCCTGACGGGATGAATTCCTGCGATTCTACCAGAAATCCGGCAGAATCAAGGTACCCAGAACAGAACCCGTCACTCGCATCCTCGTTCCATTTTGCGCAACTTTGAGGGTTGGCATTCTGCGAGTTAGGGCGCTGCTTCTGCCCCTTGCCAGTAACTCTGAATCAGTATCCAGCTGGACAGTCTCAACAATGGGCTCGAACTTTGAGGTGTCCACTTCAGCTCCTCTGTCATGTCCTCGACGAAGCCGTCTCCGCACCATCGAGCCGAATCGAGCCATTTGTGGAACTCTGCGTTGCCTCTCATGAAAAACCAGTGTCCGAGACTGCAGCCAAGGCATGAAGGTAGCAGAGTTGCCCTGCGGCTCAATCAGCAAGGGATCCCTCATGGCAAGAGATGTTCGAAGTTGTTTGCCCGCAGCTGTTCAAGAGTCCAGAGCTATCGCCTTGCCTTCTGATAGATGATGGGCTTGCGGCTCAAACAACCCTGGCATGCTGGGGAGCGTATTCTGCAGGAGAAGCAGGGCACCGTCCATACTTCGGATGAGATGGGGCCACACATATACCACAAGGTCATCCCCGCATCATACAGAGACATGGTCGGCCCGCAGCCGCATTTCATGGTCAGCTTCTTTGATGTAAAGACACATGAGAGCTGGTCTTCCCTCGTATTCGCACGTCCAGGTTTCGCTGACTGTGAAACATCAGACGGAACTCACATCGATGTAGCGGCTGCCCTGGACTCTAGGGATGCTGCAGTAGCTGCTGGCTTGATGAGGCCAGGCGTGATGGTTGGTGCGGTTGCCATCGACTTCATGACACGACGCCGGAATCGCTTCAATGGGGCCCCTTGGCAGGTTTAGCTCGGCGAAGACATCACTTTGCACCCAAGTGGGGCAGCTGTGTCACGAGTGCTCTGTCGAGGTCATCAGCAATGTCAACAAGAATGGACACTTCTCGATCCAAATAACTCAGGCATTTGGAAACTGTCCAAAATACATCACGCGGCGGAGGGTGCAGCGAATGGGTAGCAACCTCGAGTTTGCGGCGGCTGCCGAACCTGTGACTGAGGCGTCCAAGGTCGGCGCACTCGAGGCTTCCATTATCTCGAACGCGGATAACATGTACTTTGGGACGGGTACCCCTGAGCATGGTGCTGACATGAACATCCGCGGCGGCTCGCCAGGCTTCGTGCGCATCCTGCACGATGGCAGTACCATCTGTTGGCCAGACTACACCGGGAATGGATTCTACATGAGCCTTGGCAATGTGCAGTTGCAGAACTCAGCCAGCCTCGTGTTCGTAGACTGGGACGACACAGGTCGTGGTGTTCAAATTGCGGGGGCAGTGCGCACGCTTGAGCGGCCAGAGGTTGTGGATACAGAGATGCTGAAGGTCCTGAGTGAAGAGCCGCAGGCCCTCAGACTGGTGACGATGTCAGTCCAGAAGCTCCATTCCATTCCGCGATACAGTCCTCACATCTATGAGAAGGTGGAGCTGAGCCCATACAACCCACGCCCAACAGCTTTGGGACCGGACTTCCTGGCAGTATTGCAGTGGGCGCGCCGAGAGTCCAAGGACAGAAGGGGAGCGGGCACGCCCGACATGAGCTTGTACGGGCGTGCGTGTGTGCGTGGGGGTGTGGCCGTGTGGCTGTGTGGCTGTGTGGGTGTGTTTCAGGGTGAACGCGAAAACACAGTCAGGAAACCATGCCTGGCATGCAGCAGAGTCAGCAAAAACGAAGGCTACAATCAGAAAACGCTGCACTGCTCAACGTCGTGCTGGTTGCATTTGGGGTGCATGTGGTTGTCTTCGTTGCGTCTGGGGTGCGTGGGATGTTTTGGCTGGTGAGACTGGTTGGCTGCCGTTGCTGCTAATGGTGTCATTGTATTGGATTTATGTATGTCTTTGGGAATCCTTGGTACAAGCATCGTTACCGTCAGCCTTGCCTATGAACTTCTTACGCTAGCACCTGTGCAAGACTTGAAAATCTCAGTAGTGGCTGCTTGCTTAGTCTGAACCCGGCTATGAGTTTTGTATGCTCACGGCTTGATCCTGAATGGCTGGAAGGGCTTTTCGAGGACTACAGGAAGATAAAGTCCTCAAAGTTCTAATAATGTCCTTACGTGTCATCTGCATAGTCTACACAGCTGTAATTGCCGATGCTTGGCGTTGTTCTCAACAGCTACGAACATTCAGAGCTTGTCGAACCTTTAGAATGTTTGTAATTGTATCTGTTCAACGGTTTAGAACTGTATTACCTTATAGAAGTTGTAGTAGAGCCTTTAGAAAGTTTGGAGCTGTTCGAAATTTGGAGCTTTGAGAACTTTAAGAACACCATGAGCTGTGTGAACATGCAGAACGATAAAATGTTTTTCAATTTTCGAGCGAGCCTTCAGAGTTGTTCGAACTTTGGAACTTTAGAACGTTAAGACATTGCATAACTTTAGAACTTTTACTGGTAGAACTTTGGAACGTTTGGAACTTTCAGAACTTTTGGAGCTTTTGGACTTTTAGAGCTTCAGAAGCCGACCTTTAGAAAATTTAGAACGTTCTTGTAGAACCCTTAAAGCTTCTTCCACATGGAACTGTTAGAAGCTTTGGAACTTGTACAACTTATTGGCTTGCTTCTATATACCGTGTTGCTTTCTTGTGAGCTATCAGTGTGAATTCTCAATTTTAGTTTTGATTGGGTGAGGAGAGAGGATGGTCCCTCAAGATGTTGTTCTTATGATTTCATGCTTCTTGGTGGCGTCCATAAAGAGCTGCAAAAGCTGCTTTTCATTTCTAGGACATGCTGGTGATTCCGGATTTTGGACAAACCTTCATGCTTAGAAGCCCGTGCGCCCGGAATGCATCGGAGCACCTCCCACGCGCTCCGAATGCAATTCGCCTTCACTTTCTTGCCCGAGTGTCTTTGGCTTGCACGAGGGCGTCGGGCATGTTTTGAGTAGCTTTACCTTACCGGTTTGTTACGAAGTTGTTTTGTCGAATGTCGCTGCTCTTGTTTTCGACTCGCGCACCGTGTTTCCTGAAAAACCTGAATGTGCTCGTCCTGTTGGTGACTCCCGGGGAATGTTTTCCGAATTTGTCCAGCTGCTCCGACCCCGTGCGCTTTCGCACGTGCGTGCGTGTATGTGTATGTGTATGTGTATGTGTATGTGTATGTATGTGTCTGTAGGTGTACGTACGTGTACATACGTGTATGAGTGTATGTATGTGTAGGTGTGTATCTGTTTGTATCTGTCGTCGGATTCTGTCTGAATGTATCTTTCAGTATCTAGCTGCATCTGTCTATCGGTCTGTCGGTCTGCCTGTCGGTGTGGAAGCCTTTCTATATTATGAGCATGTCTGTCCATGTAGTGTGTGTGCGTGTGCGTGTGCGTGTGCGTGCGTGTGCGCGTGCGTGCGTGCGTGTGTGTGCTGTGTGTGTGCTGTGTGTGCGTGCCCGGGTGCATGAGCTTGCGCGTGGGTGCGTGCACATGCTCACATCCGGGCATCAGCTGCTCGTCTTGAGTCTTGCAAATCAGCTTGATTTTTAGCTCCACGGGAGGATGTGCTGTCCTTCGAGTTTCAACTCGCGCCCCTGCCACGTCCAGGGTCCATCGTGTTGAAGCCGGGGCAGCATGTGAGGTTGGCATTGCCGGCACTGCAAGGAAGGGAGGCATCGCCCCCCGAACGGACCTGGACAGTGACCTCCTCGCCACAGTGGTTCATGGACCACGCGCGTTTCCAGATTTCCGTCAAGCTAAAGCCGGGCGGCAAGGCGTCGACATGGTTGCACAACCTGAGTCGAAAGGCCAGAGTGGGCGCTCCCCTAAGTTCTTGTCCGAAACTCTTTTGGCGAACAACACTCCGGGACACAGAAGTAGTCAAAACCGGAACCAAACCCGACAGGACATGGAGAAAGCCCACCTGCACTTTCTTGGTTTTGCAGGGGAGTTTGGGCCACAACTCGAGCCGGGCAGTGGAGAGCTACGCAGCCAGGCGTCCATGCCACGTCACGCCGTCTTCTTGACGGCCGGGCTTGCGGAAAGGGTAAGGGTGGAAACTTCAAGTTGTTCCCTCAGCAGGCTGTGCTACTAGTAACGAATACAGCAACACCGGTATCTTAGAGGCATGCGTTGAATGCTGGCAGGCCGGGATCGGTTCCACCCCCGCGGTGGCAGCCATTGCCGCCATTGCGGAGTCGGCCCCACGGCCGGAGACTCTTACCATCTTTTATTCCGTCCGCCAGGTTTCAGAGGCGGGCCGGGCACTGTGGGGGGGATAGCTGCTGACATACCGCTGACATGCCGCTGACATGCCGCTGACATGCCGCAGGCTGCCTTCTTGGAGCTGCTGGCCTCGGCTAGCGCGGTGCTCAAACAGTTGGGCGTCGCCTACCAAGTCGTGCTCCTCTTGACCGGAGCTGATGACAATGAGAAGAGAGAGCTCAAAGGAATGTTGAGTTCCATCAACTCCGTCCAGGTTGAAACTGGCAGATTGTCGGCAAAGTTATTGTCAGATCACCTCTCAGCCAAGATGGAACGTGAGCATGTCGAAGGCTTCATCTGCGGCCCAGCCGGCTTTGAGTCCGCTGCCAGAGGCATGTGGACTGCAGCAGGATTGTCTTCCTCAGCAATTCGCTCGGAGAGCTTTATGTACTGAGCGGTGAAGGTTTATAGTGTATAGGCCTGGTCTTACGGGCCTTACGCTCCAGACTTCTGCGGAATGGCAGAGTCTTTGCCGAACTTGTACAGATGCCCGGCACCTTCGCATCGCGCAGGACTCCACAAGAGCCGAAGTACCAACAAGGTGCAGAAAAATGTGCAGTGCAGATCCGCTGACACTCCTCCTGCAGCGCATTAATAGGGGATGACACAAGCCTAGATGCTGTTGAGAGTGCCACGATTCTGCTCATTGGATCTCAGCCCAGCCCTCAACGCCAGCTAAACCCATACTTAACGCCCTCCTTCGGTTCTTAGCCAGAAATTACTGCATTAGGCTGTTTGTTCTATCGGGGCAGTGCCAGTGGTACTTCATGCCGTGAAGACCCTGAATGCAAACAGACGGCCTCTTGGATTGTCTGCCGGGGAGGCTTGGGAGGCGCCCTGTTGACAGGGTGCCTGCATATCCTGTGTCGCCTTACGTTGGCAAGGCGGCCTCAGGAGGGTCCATCAGCAACACGTGACATCAAGTCGCTCGCAATCTTGCCCTCCTGAATCTACAACAGGGCCAGAATGTTAGTTGACGCGACGCGACCTGCCTCGTGCGGGGCCAGTCGCCACGGCAGCGGCCAGGCCAGGCAGGCACGACAGGCATCACGTCTGGAAACCCCAAACCTTAAATCGGGAGAGGGAAGGCGGGGGAAAGAATGGGGAAAGTGGCGGAAGGCATGGAGGGAGGGGGTGAAGGGAGGCAGAGAGAGGGGGAAGCGCAAGTGGCAGAGAAAGGACGGGTAGATGAGGGAAGTGATAAGCACTGGGCAAGCTAGGAAGAGACGGGCCATAGGTGAGACACGAATACAACTTATATCAATATCAACTTATAAAGGCAACTGTGAAGTGATGGAGCCGCAACGCTGGTTCCAAATACTGAACCCAAACCAGAGCTCCACACTTATCACCTTCCCTTTGTTGCATTATTGTTGTTTGTCTATCAGGCCAAGAGCTTCCAGTCACGCCAGTGGAAGTCTCTATCGACCTTTATGATGCAGCCATTTGGCCCATTTTTTAGCCGAAGTCTGCAACTACAATCAAGGTGGCAAGGACGTGACATTTCGCTGCTTCAGATCCCAGTCTTCATCCCCCATTCTCACAAGATCTTACAAGCACCTCCAACGACCGTGTTGTCATGCACGAATGGACTCGCGAGCTTCACATGGAGCCGGACAGCCCTTCATCATCCTGGAAGCAGAAAACAAACAGGCCCCCTGTGTGGCAGTTGGTGTCTGTACAACCAGCAAGAACGATTGGAGTGTACTTAGTGAAGATGCGGCCTGCCTGTCAGGTGTCGCGATTCTTTCAAACAGGAGGTTCGCGACTTGATGTCACGCGTTGCTGACGGAGCAACCGCCTCGCGCGGGACTGACGTCGCAACAGCCTCGCGCGGGACTGATGCCGCAACCGCCTCGCGTGGGACTGATGGAGCATCCCCCTCGCGCATGCTTGACGGAGCAGCAGTCTGAGATTTCTTGCTTGCAGGGTAGCCACGATGCCAGGTTGATCCAGGCTGCAACCGCATCTGCATTTGTGCTGCCCGCCTCGGCCAGCGAACCTCGGAGATGCGGAGCGCGCCTTGCGAGCGTAAGGCGATGCAGGCACCCTGTCAACAAGGCCTCCCCAAGGCCTACACGACGCCTTTCAGCGGCTACAGTAGCAGTTAATTACAAAAAATCAAAGTTTCTTTTTCTGCCTTTCCAGAGCACAACAGACTCTTATCACGAAGGCACGAAGGTGACAAGGCGGAAAAGGTTGACCACCAGGCTGGGCCCCATGGGAGGAGCGACGTGGGCAAGGCGACAAGGAGACCGCCTTCTTCGAAGGGTCTACTCCTACGGTCCGACATGATGCAATCACATGCTATCACCATCACTGCACCATCTATTTCCTCAGCGCCTCTCGGCTTCTGGCCTCGGTAGGTGATGGTTTTGGCGCCTCAGATTCCTTGAGCTCACAGTCACAAGTATCAAAGCTTACAGCAGCACATGGTGACAGCTCTTGCTTTCGTACCTCTGACGCCCGAAACGTTCCCCGCTCAGACTGGATCCCAGACGGATTCCTTGATCCGCGCCAAGAAGCCCGCGTCTCAGATAGAATGCAAATATAACTGTATGGGAATATTTGTCTATATATATATATAAATACATATTAATTGTTTTAGGTATTTATTTCTATTTGTGTTTTGCATCCGTGCAGAAGTACCGTAGTGGAAACCCACGAATAAATGAATGGTAGTTCCATGAATGTTATCTGCTCACAGTATTCCCAGATGGTTACCTCGGTGCTGTGTTTGTTTGCCAAGAACGGGTTCTTCTGGGTCTTGGATGTGGACCCTCTATGACAACTCTAGTAACTCTAGTATATATCCTCTACAAGATATGTAATGAGAGTTATCTGTGCATGGGGCATCTCATGTGAATGATTGTTTCGCATTCCATGGCAAGTTATTCAGCATCATTCCATTAACCTGATACTTAAAATCACGCTAACATTCTGCGAAGCAGCCATTAAAGTTTGTAGAACCTGTTGAAAACTGCAGGTAACTGCATTGGTGTTCGAATTATTCGAAGAAGACTGTACATATGAGCTTCCTAATGACGAATTCAATCAGATTTAGCATGCAAGTCCTCTGCATATGAAAACCCTGCTACGCGCAGGCCTTTGTTAGTTTCAACTAGCAAATCGGGATTTGTAATCTAGACAGGCCTGAACAAGCATTCCATCAAGAAGATCCCTTCTAGAATGTGTCAGAAAGACAAGTTTCAGCTCTTCTGATCGTTCAAAAAAAGTAAGGTTGTGTTGCCCAGTTTGGAGGTCAGAGTAGATATTCCTGCAATCTCATGAACATCTAGCTGCCTAGCTACGCAAAAAAACACTGCGGTCCCTGGCGCCTACGGCCCGAGGCTTCGGCGGATAAGTTGGGAGATATTCCAGGGACACACTGGGGTTGGGCACTCCAAGGACACCCTGGGGTTGGCACTCCAGGGATGAGCGAGGAGTAGACCGGGCGAGGAGAAGAGTTGAGTTTGAAATCTAACACCGGGGGTGGGGGGAACAATAGTTCGGCTTAGAGGGCAAGGCCACTTCCCTTCTCAAACCCCAAAATCCAAAACTCCTGAACAAAGTTTTCTTGGAGAAGCTCCGGCGAGGTTTGCGTTTCGTGATTTTGGAGCTTGGGCAGTTTAATTTGCCCAGGACAAGTTTTGCAACACGACACCAATTTCGGCTGTTTGCGAAAATGCTCTGTCACTGTGTGTGTGTGTTTGAAAAGTTTTCCGAAAGGAAGAATGCTAGACTCGAGTCGCTCTCGAAGACCCAACGCAAAACCTGTAGAGTCTGTAGAGGCGGGAGTTGTATCATGATGTATTATGCCACGCTCTCTCTGCTGTCTACTCTCAGGAAATGGAGGGAGTGGCGCTCAGTTCAAGGGCTCCCAGAGCTGTGTGCCCTTACAGCATCCCAAAGCGCATCCCAGTCAGCGCACCCCACGGCTCTCGGCAAAAGGTGGTGCACACCTTCCGGAGTGGCCTGGCGGAGCCTTTGAATGAGCTGGACTGCTACAGGTGGCAGTTCCCGGTTTCTTACACTTCAGAGCTCCTCTGCTTGCAGACGCATAGCATGGAGTTCCCTTTTTTGTGCCTCGTTTGCTTTTTCTGGTCATTCTCACCTCACAGGACCTTCTCTCAACCTTACTTTCAGAACCTCGGCACAGTGTCCACTAAGATGTCTTCACCTAGTAACCTAGTACCCAGACCGGCGAACTTCCGAGCTGGGAATGCCGCGAAGGGCTTCCTTACAGTACCTGCCGGACCTATGGGCGTAGGCGGACTCAATACAACGATGCTAACGATGCTCCATCTGTCTCATTGTGACAAACTGGCGCTCCAGCTTGCATGTTGTGACGATTGGCACAACAGATCAGACACAAAGTCACTGTTGAATAGCTTCAGTGCTCTCCACATGTCAGGAAGGCCGCCATGACATTGTACGAGGCCAGGTGAGACTTTGGATGTCCCATGATGTCCCAACTTAGGGGTGCGCAGCTCACAGATGCTCACGGCACACGCGGAGCCTTCAAGACTCTATTTCACGTGAGACGGGGCTCAGAACCCTATTCTTGAGCCCGAAGCCCTAAACACCCCAACCCCAAAAGCCCAAACCCTAAATGCCCTAAAGCCAAAAAAGCACGAGCAACCCGAACATCTTAAACCCTAAAACCCCAAAAGCAATCCTAAAAGCACTAGCCGCCAAAGGCCTTAAGTTAAAGCCGTCAGTCTTACAACACGAAGAACCCGAAAGCCGGAGCATTCCAACTAGGCACTCAACATTCCCAATCCTCATAAGCTCTAACCGAAAACACTCTAAAACCCTAACGCCCGAACCCTGAAAACCCAAAACCCTACATGCCACAGGCAGAACAGAACATTGCAGGCGAGGCAGAATGCATCAAATGCAAGTGGAACTCGGCCCGTGTGCAGGCTATCCGCCTGCGCGGCTTTCATCAGCCTCCAACGAATCCGGCGGCCTGGTATGCTTACAAGCACAAGACACGGCCCGGGAACCCACATTATCACTGACACAGCAAAGCTTCCGAACGCACTCCTAGCCAGGTCTAGCCTGAACTGAGACCATGTTTGCAAATATGGTTTCGGCGGAGGCTAGAGAAATGGGCCGCGCCGGCAGTCTGGACACTGCTCCTGCTGGACATCATCGAGACCCCGCTCTGGCGCTCCTTGTTTTTAGAGCCGTGAGATATCTTCAAAAAGTTGAAACCTTGTCCAGAGGGTTTCAATGGATGCAGCAAGCAGGTGCAACGGCAAAATTTATGCCACAGGAGGCGCGCAGCTGGGGGACTTCATGGTGTGTGTCCCGTTTACATGTTAAGTGATGGGTTTTGAGCGTTTTGTCTGAGGCATTTGCCCGGCTGGTGAGAGCCCAGAATACCTGCTCAGTGGCTTGGTCTATGTCCCCGTGGCTTGGGCCGCGGGCACCTCAGAGCTGAGATCAAAATCGAAAGGCCCAGCATGCTTTCGAAAGCAAATGCTGCCAATGCTCAGACACATCGATACCCTAAGAAAGGTTCGAAGACGAGAGCTGCCCTCTCCCCTCCTCCCCCCCCCCCCCCCCCTCCCCTCCCCCCCCCCCCCTCCCCTCCCCCTCCCCCCTCCCCTCCCCCCCCCCCCTCCCCCTCCCCCCCCCCCCTCCCCCCTCCCCCACATTGTAGAGGGCAAGCTGGCTGTGACATGGAAACGGTCCTTGTGCGTGCCGTTTGTTTGTCTGTAAATGTGTTTTTGATCCGTTCTGGGATCCTAAAAAGTTTGCTGATCCCTCACCTGGCAATTGCTCCCTGAATGCCGCTGACTAGTCAATCAAGTTCAGTCCGTCCCCAACAGTGACAGGCCACCTAGCTGTAGCCTTTTTTTCACTGTGGGAAAAAGGATACCTGCGTACAGAATAATTGTAGACCATGGCCAGACTACACCTTTTTGTTCCAGACCTTTCCGTCAGTTTCCGTTTTTGCGATTTGTAGGTTTCATGGCTTCCATGGCCTTTCCAAAGGCTTCACTCTCGATGCACTGAATCACCCCACCAATGCGGGTGCATGCACTTCGAGTTTGTGGACTTCGGCGCACGTCGGCCAGGATGTGTGCAGTGCATGTGCTCCTAGGGCGAGGTCCTGGCTCCGTGGAAGAGACGTGCAACACATACACGCGTCACAGAACATACTTTATCAACTCAGACAACTCATGAAGCACCTGAGATATCGACTGCAACCAGGTAGCCATCGAGCTGTTTATCCTGACCTTCCTGTTTGGGAACCTCCTGCCCTGAGCCCAGCCGTTCCGCCGAGATAAAGAGAGCCGCTTGAGGGTATCAACGCATGGCAATCAGTTTCGTTCGGCTCTCAGAATATGCAAAACATATGTAGCAACTTTCGCTACAGTCGGCAATGCCTAATGCCTGCGAGGTTGCACCTTCGTCTTTATATTTCCATGCGGGGCTACGGTGCGGAACTTGGAGAAAAACTGGGGAGTCCTGCCCTGTACTGTAAGATCGCACTTGCTCTGCAGTGTGCGGTGAGCACAGCAAGAGGATGGTAAGGGCATGATGAGCCCAGGCCATGCCACTACATCAGGCAGAGTGCTGAAATTGTGCTGAACCAGCCTGAAGTTAGATCACGTTAGACCTTCCTTTGTTTTGCGCTCTACCACAGCTTTGATAGCAGCGCGGCGCGGATTGTGAGGCCGATTGCTGCTGGAGGCGGCGTTGATCACGCTAAGCTTCCTGGCGCCTCAGCGATCTAACCGGTGACGGGCCAGAGTTTACGCTGAATATTTAGTCGTTTTAATCGGTAAATGTTGCTGCTGGAAATGGGCAACAGTAGGAGACGAACCCCGAAGCACTGAGATCAGAGTGCCCAGGACTTGGCTGCCTTTTTCGCTGGCTCGAAGCTTCGGATCGCACCGGTCCTGAGGCAATGTTTGGGCGGGGTCGGAGGATCCTGATCTGTATGTCTCAAGTGACTAGGTCAAGCAAATGAAGAGACGAACATCTGGCTCACTGACCTGAATGTAGTGTTCGTGCGTTCCTTCTGGCCTCGCCACGGAGGCTAAGAAAGGCTTGACTATGTTGCCCTGAAGCGCCCATGATGCGCCAGATTCGGCCTTGCTGCGTGCGCCGTCCCACGCCTGGAGGCCTGACCTTGCACTGCCGGGCTAAAGTCAGCTGTGATGCGAACGTTAAAATGGTTAACGTGATGAAAAGAGTGAAACACAGGATGCATACGATGATGTTGGTCGCAGCTGAGGGACATATATGTTTTACAGCTAGCATGACACTGCAGGCAGCAAGCTGAACCAATGAGGATTTCTTGGCGTGTGGCTTTATAATACAGACTTCTAATTAATCTTCATTACAAATGGGGGTCAGAAAGGGATTTCATAGGGTGCGGTCTGCAAAATAAAATTCTAACTCGGCTGCGTTGCGAGGAGGATGTCCCGGGGTTGGCCTCTGAATATACACTTGCTTTACTTGGGTTTAATTACGATCGAAGCCCAGAAGAGGGTTTCTTAGGGTGTGGGTGTACAATACGATATAAAAATACGTTTCGTTACGAATGGGGCCAGAACAGGATTTCACAGGGTGTGGGAAAAGCAAAAATTCTAAATAGGTATTACTAAACCAGGCTTAGATGAGGATGTCTTGGGTTGTGGCTTTATCATACACAAGTCTACTGAAATTTCATTAAGAGGGTCCAGAACAGGATTTCATAGGGTGTGGCATTTAAGTATAGAATTCTTTTCCTAGGGTGTGGGCTTCTTATGTAGAAGCAGTTCTTCAAAACAACTAGGAAGGAAGCCCAGATGAGGATTTCTGAGGCTGTAACCTCTGCATATAAAGTTCTTGTGAGATTTTGTTACGGACTTGCAGGCCCCAGAAGAGATTTCATAGGGCGCGGCTTTTAATAGGCAAATTTAGATTTCTAAATACAATGTACTACGAATGAAGCCAGAGGATTTCTCAGAGGGTGTGGCCCTTTAATATAAATTCCGAATTAGGTTTAAATCTCGCTTTGATGTGCCCAAAAGGCCTTCCGACCTGGATCATGGGGGGGTGAGCATATATATATATATACATATATAAATGGTGCGTGCCTCCATGTGCGATTGGCCATTTCTCCTTTTTTGTCCTCTGCCACATTCTTTCCCATTGGCGGCCTTGTGCCGTGTAGCCAGTATACGCAGAACGAATTCATGCGCGATTGGCCGTCTGTGGCCACGTCCCTGTGTTTTCCATGCCATTCCGGTGCCATCAGGCGCGATTGGCCATTCTCTCTTTTGTCCTGTCTGCGATGTCCTGCGCCATCATGCCACGTGCCTTCACACGCGATTGGCCATGCTCCTTTTCGTCCCGCCCGGGTCGCCTGCCTTCGTCGGCCAAATGTCCGGGCATGTCCGGGCCCTACAGTATGCTTTCATGTCCGTGGCCTTGTCTAGCGCCGTATCGGTACACGATGCGCGCTTTATTGTGTGGTAGTAATATGATTCTTGAGAAAGTTGGAATATGCTTGATCGCCCTCGAATAATTGGGCAGCTGCACGCTTGTGTAGCGAACAGTTGTGCGAACCTTCATGCCTGGATCTTCGTGCCGCCTGCCTCTTATGTTTTTGCTCGGCATGCACATCATGCGGTCAGCACCCAGCCCCTGTTGACAGGAGTTGGTGCTCTCATTCTTTCGGACAACAAAAGCTGTCAGCAAGGTGACAAGCCCCAGTCTAGCGAAGCATTACAAGCTTTGTATGTCTCTGACACAGAAGACAGCACTGTGTATCTTCAGGTTGGCATGTTCCTGGTCTACACCGTGGTCCTGTTTGCATTCGTGACGGCGTCCATGTTTGATGACCTGGAGGCCCAGATGGCTGGCCTACAACGTAGTGCAAAACGGCTCATGCCGAGGTGTAGCTCTGTAGCTGCAACTGTTGCAGTTCGAAGTCTGTTCTTCAGATCCGGCGCTTAGAGGCTTAGCTAGCTTCCACACGCTTCAGTGGCACCAGGAGAATGACCCGTTTGGCACTCCCGCGAACACAGGCTTCACCTCGTCGATGCCTTAGTCGATTCTGCAGCCGACATCCACCACGTCACTGTCACAGACTGTCACCGTAGTGCACATTCAGCACATTGCATCTAGCAACAGGTTCAGTGACTCGATTTACACCTGCTTCGCAGCTTTGACAACAGCAACGCTGCCGGATGCATTGGTGCCCTACCCACGGCTGGGGCATGTTGGGACTTTGGGGATGTCTGCCGCGTCTTTGGCGCTGAGGTGCCAACTTATAGCACTCAGCGGCTCTATGCTTTGATCTGGACAACTGAGAGCTCTTGCAGCGCGTATCAACGACATGCGTAGTGACATGTCAGTGACCTACGTATGTCAACAAAGTGGAAAGGATGCCCTTCATCTTCATGGGCTCCGTGCTCCTGAAGCAAGCACAGATCCCTAGATCCCTTCGAGGTTTTTTGCACAGTCTTCGAACACCTCCCTGCGTTTATCAGAGGTCATACTGGCCGGTGTCTACAACTGAGAGCTCTTGCAGCGCATATCAAACGACATACGCAGTGACATGTCAGTGACCTACGTATGTCAACATCACAGTGTACAGGTCTACAATGACTACAGCCAGCATGCCAAGAGTAACCTGATGGTAGGCCGGAAGGGGCCTGTATTCACAAGCTCATTATGTCTCTACCACAGGGCCTGAGCTGATCTCTGAGGCAAGTGGAACATGGTAGTATGAGGTACCTTGGTTGATGATGCAGTCGTGGTCTAGGAGGTTGTCATATACATACATTTCTGTTGCGAGGCAGAAATGTGTGCATATTCATGTACGTTATGTTCACTGAACTTCTCACCCAGTCCTTTCTTGAAGTTATATGTTGGGACGACACAAGTATGATCATGAGCCGATTGCGCTGATTGTTTAGCTGAGAAACCCCAAGTTGGTAATATGGCCCTTGAACTCGCAATAGTAAGTGAACAGGTTAATGATCGAAATCGTTGAGGCTTCATGTTTTTCGGGTCTCCCCAATTCCTTACATGATTGGCTTTGTTAATTGAAACATACATAGCTAGAGATCAAATATGTGAAGTGAGTTTATAGTTTCAGCTCAAACGGCAGTTCAAAAGTGCATTCAACTTAGTTGTTAAAACCAGGTGCTGGCAACCGATTGCTTTCAGAGGCTAGTTCTTTTCTCTGCTTTCGTAATTTTGCTAGCTTCCCCCATTTGTGTGTGTGTAAGAGAAGCTAAGCTGATTCTGACGATTACAATTATTAAGCTACTTCCACGATTCATCTGCCGACTACTTTTCGATAATAGAGTTAATGCTGCAACTAAAATTCAAAATCAATTACATAGCTAAGTTATTACTTCAAACACATGAATTTTGCTTATTCAGGAACTCAGTCCTTGCTTTTGAAGGGATTTTCGTTTCGATCGGCTGTCCCGATGGCTGTCCTTCAGTACCTTCCAATATCCCGGCCTGGCGCACAGTACGTGTGAGGTCTGTACTTGACGTTGTCCAATCCAATTGATGGGCTAAGGCGGGGACGTTTTGAGGGATTTTCGCTGTGATCGATTGTGCCAGTACCTGTCCTTCATTCGCTTTCAATGTTCCCGGCCTTGGCCTTGCAATTCCCCTCCAAAACTTATTGGAAAATGCTGAACTTTTGTTTTTTTTGTATTGGTTTGTTTGCTGTGCTTCTGCGTCGAAAATATCTGGAAATGGAAGCGCTGCGTTTCTGCGGATAGCACCGTAGCAGAAATACGGCGGGTCGAAATCACACCCTTAACCTTACTGGTATACTTTCTTAAAAATGTCATTTAGGCCAGTGATATGGGAAGAGCGTAACTTGGTCGTTCAATAATGCCAAATAGTGTCATGAGATTATCGGACCTCAGTTACTTTAAACACAATAGGTACGCCAAGTGCCTTTTTGAACTTGGAGGAACTAATTTTTGACTAAGTGTTGTCTGTAAGTGCACCTGAATGGCAATTTTCAGGTAGTGGTCGTTCGTTAGAGCAGTCAAGCATAATCAAAAAAGTTTGCCCCTGAATTCAATGCGATTGCGCCACATATGCTGTTTTGTGTACACGTACATATTGCACGGCATATTCCACTTTGTGCAATACATCCCCATGCCATGACAAAACGGCGAGGCTCTGTCTACGGTAGTCCAAAGAGAATGATACCTATGGGATGTCTCGGTCGGTGTCCCCGTTGGTGTCCCAGTCACTGTACGGCTCGGTGAATCCCGACACGTCCTCGCTTGTGCCCACGAGAAGGGGAGAAAACAAACCCAGTGTCAAGCCTTTCGATCACTTGCTCGAACGAAATACAGTCAGAGCTCCCCTGCATACTTTTCCGTCCAGTTGATCACACTTTGTTCAACCGAAAAACCCCAGGGTGTGGCTGCAGGACGTGAACTTCGACAATCTGGGATTGTGTCTGCCTTTAGCCTGCTGTAGCCTGGCAGCAAGTGGCAAGTTCGCATTTGCAGTGGAACTGCATGGGTTAGCTACTGGGCTGAGGCGGCACGACCACCACGACAAGAAAGCTGTCGTAAGGCTAGAACTGAAACCCTCAAGCTTGGGAACTCTATAGAGCTCAGCCGATGCCTGCGGCTAGGTTCGAAGATTTTGAGAAGCTGGTGGACGCCATGAGTGTGCTGCTGGACATGTCTGCCACGAAGGCGCATCGAACATGTCAATTCTTGTCTTTGGATCAGACACCGCGAGTGCAGAAGGAGATGCTTCGAGTCATCTTCCATGCCTTGGACGACAACCTCGATGGTGTCCTGGACTGGTCCGAGTTCGAGGACTGCCACCGAGGTGAAGAGATGGTGCAGTCATGTGGAGTCCCCAGAGTCCGGAGTCAGTCTGCAGAGCGATCCTGGAGCGAGTCTGCTAGCAGGAGATGTGTGACGTACTTCAGCTCCCTTGCTTCATTTCCGGAGTCTTGATTTTTCGATTTGAGTGGTCTCCGCCGAACGTAGGATGCTGGAGTGTTGCACGGGTGCTGAGGTTTCAGTTCGACATCACAAAGCGTGATGCGCCTTTGAAGGAATGTCTTCACGGCACAGCTGTGGAGAAGCGGCAGACTTGGCCGTTCAGTAACTCAGTGACGTACTGACCTTTGAAGTTGCTGTTGGAAATACCGAGGTGGATGCGTTACATCATGGAGAATGGATCGGGTGGCACGAACTTAGGCCTTCGGAGTACTATGTACCACTACGGCAGATTGATCGACCCGCACTGAGCACAGGCTACGCGGTTCGTTATCCCGGCTCCATCATGGACGTGGCCAGCTTCTCGGTTTGCTGCGCGCGGCTTTGCCGTCTCCAACTCCTTTCGGCCTTGGCAGATTTGGGCGGCATATGCCTCAGGGTTCAACTTAGGTGTTCCACATTGTTCCACATTGTTCCACATTGTTCCACATTGTTCCACATTGTTCCACATTGTTCCACATTGTTCCACATTGTTCCACATTGTTCCACATTGTTCCACATTAAGCCACATTAAGCCACATTAAGCCACATGCCATCTCGGAGCGCTCGCTCTCTCTCTCTCTCTCTCTCTCTCTCTCTCTCTCTCTCTCTCGCTCTCTTTGCTCACCTGCACCACTGAATGCCGACAAACTGTCGCCACATCATTGGTCTGGCTTGGCTGCGCCTCCTGTTGAGGTGATGAACGCAGTGGTCTCTGCCAATGTGATCTGGGTCATTGGCGAATCTGTTTTCGACATGAATGACATACAGGTGCTTCCGCAGATCCTGCTCAGATTGCGCTCAGAGCTTCTTGAAGAACACTCGCGCTTGCGCACATCACTAGGAGCCAGCTTGGGTGGTGAATGTGGACCTCTTCTTCTCTTTGATTTACATGTTGGAGGCGCCAGCATTTGGAGCAAGCAAGAGCAAGCACCTGGCCACAGGAAAAAGGGCCGAGCTCTCGCAGTACTATTACAACTCAGATTTTCTGTTTGTCATTTCTCTCTGCCCTCTCTTTGCCCTCTCTCCTCTCTCTCTCTGCTCTCTCTCTCTCTCTCTCTCTCTCGATCCCTCTCTCTCTCTTGCTTTCTTTCTTCAGGCCTTGCTGAAGCTGTCCTACTGGTCCTGGGAGGAGTACTGGTTCTATGCTGACAACAGGCCAGTTCCATCATGAGATGCTGCTAGTGATCCCATTCCAAATATTAAAGTCACCATGCATCTTTCCAGGTTTGACCTGATCACCAGCCTAATCTTGAGTGGAGCCCTGCACTTATGTGCTTACAGCGAAACGTTGCATAAGAAAATGGTTCTCCGACGGTGCTTGTAGGGTGCCCTGATTACCCGAGTACCCGGCTTTTTTCTTTGTACCACTCTTCAGGGTGCATGCACTGCATCTTGCTCTGGTCAGCGCCCTTGACGAAGCCACAAGGTTGCTGTAATCTTCCTCACCGTCCGTCACATCTCTCTGGAGACGCTGCGCAGCGCCAACGTGCCTTGAGCTCTCAAATCTGCATGAAAAGTCTTGAGAGCTTGAGGTGCACGAGTCAGACGAAACGCATGAATCGGCACGTATGGAAGCGAGTCCCTTGTGACCTCTCTCTCACTCTCGATATTTACGTATATATATATATATAGCCCCGGTTCGCCCCCCCCCCCCCCCCCCCCCCCCCTCGCTATCTCCCCCGCCCAGCCCCCCTCGCCCCGCAAACAAACACTCGAAATCTGTGAACATCGGAATAGTGTGTCAAATTGCATGGCCCTGAATGTCTGGAGTTCAGAATCATACATACAAGTATTGCCCTTCACGCTTCCCCACCCCATCCGAACACACCTGGAAGCTTACAAATTTGAATAGTAAACGGAAGTATTGCCTTTCACTCACGTGTCGCGGAAAATCTGAAGTTCAAGCTGTATGCTAATGAGTGCCCATCTTAACCATGTAGCCCAATACAAAGACTTGATATGCTGCCCTAACGCGTTTTTCCCCTGGTCGAAACTAGCACATCCAAGCATTCGTACTACTTATTCACTGCGAAAGCCCTGCGTAAATATCGCCAACGTCCCATCCAATGCAGAATTTCCGGAGCAACCTGGTATGGTCTTTAGAGTCGAGATCAAACCTTGATTTCCCTTGAACTTGGGGATATCGAAACGTGCAACAAGTCCAGATGGAACCCCGAAGTTGTCCTCTGGGTTTCATTATTGCGTTGCTCTACAAGCTCTGTAATCTCCGGCAAGCAAAACAAAACCTGATATTTGCTTCGGTTTTTCGACGTTAGGGCCATGTTTCCATGGGCAGATCAGTTCCTTGGGGCAAATCAAGTTCTTTAAGCTCTGATTGAGCTTCGATTCCCATTCCGATTTGGGCTGAAAACAACGAAAAAGTAGTGGAAATCCATAATTTGCCTTCACTTCTATGTTTGCGTTTGGTTTACTGACGTTGGATGAATCTCTTCAGGACTGTTGGTGGTTAGGCACCCTGCCCTTTCATTCTTCCCTCCAAAGCCAAAGAAAGCAACAGAAACCAACACCCAAAATCATGTTGTGAGGTGCTCCGGTTGCTTCGGGTCCTCAAAGCTCTCAAGCACGTCAAGACCTACAAGCGCACGAGCATGATCGCCGGGCACTTGAAAACAAAGCCATTCCAGCCATGCTGTGTAGGGCGTGCTCAGTGTGCTCAGTGTGCACTTGAGATCTCTTGCCAACTTCAAGGTGAGCAAACTCTTCAGCACATGTCGCGAGGCACGGGTGGCACGTCAGAAAGCTCGTGCAGCTTTCAGAAAACATCCTCAAACTGATGTTTTGTTGACCGCGTGGGCTTAGAAGGTTCTGTTGCTGAACGTCCTTGTGGTGCTGCTGTGGGCTTCCATCGGTGTGAGGTTCTCATCTTGCAGCATGCTGCGGGTTGCTGCGGCATGTCGCAAGTTGAGTCCAACTCTTGCAACATCTTGAACCCTCTGAGCATCTGAGGTCCAAATCTTCGGAGGTCGCCTGGTGCCTTCGAACCCGCGGCTGCCGGAGGACTTGGGCTATTTCCAGAACAACTACCAGGCAGAATCCGTTCATTTCGTGTTTTGCGTGTCAGTGCATAGTATTGCGTGATGTGTGTGTGTGTGCGCGTGTGTTGAAAAGGTATTGAATTTTAACGACGTGCCAATGGGAATGATGACGCTTTTCGCTGGACCCTGAGACGAGACATCGAGTGCAGTAAGTCTCAGCCACTTGGGCAAAGCTGCACGGGCAATATGATGTAAAACGTAAAAAATGCCGAGATGTGGACTCTCGGAGAATGGAATGATGACTTGGCCACAGCATGCTTGGAGTCTTGGCAGAGCGCATGGCATTGGTCTTCGCCTGTACGGCTTTGTCGATGCTTTTTTGCGGAAGTACTCAGTGTTAGCTCGCCGCGTGTGGCATTCGATGTAGCGGGCGCGGCTAAGCCGCAGCAACATCGTGCCACATGGGGAAGCATCACTTCAAGCCACTGCAGCCCCATTGATTGAATTAGTAAGTAGTGACTGTCAAATAGTGTTGGTAACCGTACGAGGCTGGAGTATGTTCGACATCTGTTCTCATTGCTGTGATCCTGAAAGTTCTTTCTTGTTTGAGTAGGGTCATGAGGGGAAGCTTCGCACAGGAGCCTAAATAACTACCGATTCCATCACCTCATTATGAAACATGACGAACTACCCGAACATGTTTCCTGAGCATATCTAAAATCTAATCTAATGCGTAGGCCACGTAGCATACGATCTCACAGCCCAGAGGAGTTGGCCGAACCCTTCTCCGTCGAGAAGGCGGGCACGATCCTGCAACGTAACCGGAGCCAATTAGTAGACGACCGTTGCAATTCATGTTAATCGTAGCGGTGAAAAAAGAGTAACATAAATATGAAGTTGCATATGCATAACCAAGCAAGACACTCTGAATGCATCATGGATCACCGCTGTTGGCCAGATGACAACTGATCGTTGCAGCGCGTTTTGAAAGCCACGACAAACGCATGTGGGCTATGCCCAACGGCAAGTACACGGGTAAAGCTCGAGATCACAGCGATCGATCGAAACATGAAATGCCATGCCGCCATTCCCGATGCAATCAAAAAGCCAAAATAGACTGCCAGCCCGAATCAAGGTTGTGGGAATTTCCCAAGGGACATCGATCAGGCTTGGAAAGCCGGCTCATGTCCAGGTAGTTTCAGGCGGTTCTCAAGTCTCGCAGACAATTTCGTAGTCCCTTTGGTCATGGGTCTTTGCAGAGGTAGTCATGCTGCGCACATTGTCACAATCAATCCCCGAATCCTTGGGGCGCAAAGTGGTCTTGATTGTACATTGTCTGAACCCGAGGCGTTCAAATGCTGGCTGGCATGTCAATTGAGCGAGCGTAGACAACGAGCCTAGCCTAGCTACACATGAGGCGGCGTCTTGAACTGCGAGGGGGACTATTGACTATTGGAAGGTGAGAACCCAGGTTCACACCTGCAAACGGTGGCCAAGGAAGAGACAGCACGTCCAGTTGCCACGTCTCCATGCAATTTCAAGAAGGGGGATCGCAGCATTGAGGTGCTGGCGCGTGATGGAGCTGCGACCTAGGATGGGCCTTTGATTGTAGACTCTGTAGACCCTAACCATCGCAATGACACCTTGGGATTTGTTCTCCATTGTCCGGATTAAGGATGTTGATTCCATGGTACCTGCAATGCAACCTCGTTCAAGACTCGAGAAGAGATGGTCACATGTTCATGCGATTGCCTCGCCAACTCCCCGCGAAGCAGAACCTATGACCGGACGCACCATGCATCACTCACTTAGGCCAGATGCAAGCCTGATCGTTGCAGCATGTTTGGACAAGCGCTTGGCATACAAATATGGGCTCGTATTCCCAAAACGTGGAATATGTAAAGGTCGAAATCACACTGTTCGTCGCACAAATATGTGCATAACCATTCAAAACCCACCCAAACCCTAAATGGCAAATGGCTGTCGCCAGCTCGTGGTGCAGGTGGTGATTTGGATGTTCCTGCTCTCGTTTTACGTGGCATCGCCTCTCTTAGCTTACAATGCACCTTGGATTTGAATGCAAGCGAAGGTGTTAAGGCTGTTAAGGTGTGATGAATGAAGTCGTGTTCGAGTGATTTGCGATGCGAGCCTGAGCTCGCCCCGCTCCAGAGGTGTTTTTTAAGCTTTGAAGTGCCTTTGAAGTGCCTTGGCTGTGCTTGAGTTACAGTTGATGCTCTGGGAGCCTGGAGGTTTTATCAGCTTTCGCCATCGATGTTTATCAGAACATTGAGAGCAGTGCGGGAACCTCAGCTGGGAGCATTGAACAAGTTGAACAGTAGTACTCAAGGTCTTGAACTCTAAGCCGCGAAGCCTCAGCAATGTGCAGGTCTCCAAAGAGGAGGAGTGCCCAGATGCAGCAGGCACTTTGCACCCAGTTCTTGGTAGCTGAACGCCGCTGCAGGAGGAGGGCCATGCCGTGTGCGAGGTTGAGCGGAACCTGTTGAGGATCCAGGCGAGGGCTGCAACAAGCCTCTCCTACCACGGGAACTAAGCGATCTACATTAGAACGCGGGCAGCGAAAGTGCAAGAGGTTGAGAGGTTCCGATGGGATTTCCTCTTACGATTGATTCATCTTGATTCATCTTGATTCATCTTGATTCATCTTGATTCGGAATCTTGGGGAAGAGCTTCAGACCGCTGACGGAACGAGAGTCAGTCTCAGTCTGGCCGTGGCCATGTTTGGGATATGGCTCGTCCTTAAAACCCTGAGCGTAGTTCTACCAGAGCTGCGTTCTTGCACCTGCATTGCGGGATATTGCGGTCGCGGTGACAGGCCGAACTTGCGGACGATGGCTGGGTGCTACACATCCAGGACTGCTAATGCGAATCATGCCGTGAGGGGCAGCCCATTCAGCGATCTAATTGAAGGTTTAGGGTTTAGGGGGTGAGGTTTTCGCGGTAGGTGTAGGGCTGCAGGGCATGGTGACCTTTAATCAGGAATGGTGTTTTTTTCCTCCCAAGGCCGGTGCATTCACTTCTTGAAGGGTTAAGGATTTGGGATTAGGTTCCGGCTTAGTGGGCTTACTCCTGTCGGATTGGGGCTTGGGGGGGGTTAAAGTCTTGTTTAAGGTTTCAATGTTTAGATTTTGTCTGCCCGCTATGGGCTTTGTGATACCCTCCACACTAATGAATAGAACTTGCTGCGGCCTCGGATCTTCGGATAGGCCAAGCACGCAAACTGGTTCCGGCATTGATTGCGGGAGACCTTCAAACCATCCGGACGGGTGAGCCTCGAAAGTGCCTGGCAGCGCGAGCTGGCGCGACCTTCTTGAACCGCAGTTTTGCTTTGTGGGGGGAACCATGGAACGACTATGCGCACTCCCTTGCCTGCTGTAGACTGCTGCCTAGAGGTATCGAGAATGCATGGCCCAACAAGGCACCCGATTCAGAAACATGTCGCTCATCAAGCCCACAGCTCTTGAGATTTTGAGTCTGGGGTGAAGCTTTCTGGCCAGCCTGTAAATTTGCTATGTCCGAGACGCACATACGAAGTATTCCCAGTTGCGTTTCAGGAGTTGGGTCGCTGTAAGTACACGCAAACAACCAGAGTACTATCTGAGCGATCCCCTGCGTGGCTTGAGAGCCGCTTCGTCTTAGGTGCAGAGCCTTGCAGCCTAGCACCTTTAGCGCGCCTTTGCAAGCCTTTCTCCAGGAGTCAGCCGACCTCGCCAAGCTCCGAGTGCACGCGTCGCTGTTCAACGTCGCGTGAGTTGTTCAGAGGCCCGTCGTTGGGGCCTCCGAGGGCGGTGAGGTACTTCAGCTTTTGGGCATGGCTTCGTGATTCTGCGGGTGGGATGGCACTGTGTATTTTGCTTCAGGTCCACCTGGCTGCAAAGACAGCGGCTGGTGATCTCCTGAAGGTTCGTTTTCAATTATCATTGAATCTGCCTGAGTCGGATTCGGAAGAGCACGGGAAGCTTAAAGAGTAGCTGAGTAGCAGTACATGGTAATGACCCAACATTCTGCTCCGTTGGCTGCATTTGACCACCACGTGCTGCCTGGCGCCGCCATTGTTGCCTCTCCTCGTGCTGCCCGGCGACGTCGACTCAAAAAGGTGGATGTTGTGCAATTGAGAAGCCAGGAGTGCTGGGTTGAGTATGGTTGTGCGAGTGATGCAAGCCCTCTGGATGAAGAGTGGATGAAGCATTGCAATCGCGAAAAACCGTCCAATCCGGGCTCAAGCTGTGTGCCGAAGGGAGAGACAGCTCATGCATCGAGGCCAGAGTTCCGTGTTCCTGATGAGTTCAGGGTCTTTGCCGAATTCCTTCGACAGGCTGAGCCTGAAGTGGGAGAGGCCAACCTGCAGCCCCATGCGAGATGCGAGAACTTGGCTTTGGGACCATCTTTCACTGAGATTCACGCCTGCTGCTTTGATTGCGATGTGGCTCAATGTGGTTCAAATTCAGGTCCAGAGAATGAACTTGCTGCACGAGTGTGGAATAGTGGCAGACAGCTGTCAGTACATGCACAGCATCAATTCATATTGTACCTATGGATGTGTGCGGCACTATATAGGCGTCAAGACTTGCGCCTAAGAACCTTGAGCTCGGTGTGAGAACGGCTTGGCAGACTCAGTTCGCCTCGCAGCGGGCTTAATCTTGAATTCGAGAGCACTGGTAAAGTGCAAAGGCCAAGCTCCGTCGGGCTGCATTTCCGCCCGAGGCTAGGATGACTCGATCCTGCATGGGAGTGTGGAGCACAGAGAGCCTTGCCGAGCTGCACTTTCCTTTTCAGCACATGAGATACTTTCGATACCTGTGCAGCACTTGCGCAGAGGTGCTCTTGCTGAGCCTGCCCGAGTGCTTGTTGGGACTCCTACAACTTTTGGATGCGCAGGCTGCCATCGGCTCCGGTATGCGCAATAAATGCTGTTTCCGCGCGGCTTTCAGCTGAAATACCAGGGCCTGGCGCAGCTTCGCCGCTGTGGACGTGTGGGCCAGGGTCTTGCGACATCTCGTATCGCGTCGAGTGCCAATGCTTGCTGTGTGGTGCCGTATGCATGGTGTCTGTTTTGCTGTGTGTGTATTGTGCTAGCAGTACAGGCTTGCATGTTCGCGGTACGGAATGCTGTCGACCCACAAGCCGCAAGAACGCATTCGAATCTTGAATTTCGGCCCTGTCTTTAAAATCCTAGTCCCCGAAACGCCCAGGCAACTGTCACGGATCAACTCTGGCACACGCCATGCGGGTAGGGAAGCTCGGTACTGCATGGAACTGCGCCGCACTCCAGTACGTTGATGGTGGAATTGCAGGCCTGAAGCCGATCTATCCCTGGCATAGCTATGGTCATATTCTGCCTCCACACACCCAACCACCCAATCCTTGAACGAAGCTGAAGTGCGCCCGCAGCGATTTTGACAGGCTCTAGCCGTTTTTCCGCTCCTCTGGAGGGGGAGCCGCTGGTACGACAAAGACATGAGCCCCCAGTCCACCACACGGCCAATGGCTGAGCGTAACCAGAGCATAGCTATCGCCACTTGAGTAGCAGCAGTGAAACTTGAGAGCAGAGCTTGTTTGCAGCTACAGCCACTCTACCAATCATTCTCCATCCTTCCTACAAAGTCTCAGTGCAGAGGAAGCCTGAGCAGAAGCTGCTGCCATGTTGGGGGTACCCGGCGCAGCTGGTGCGAATGGCGCGAAGGCAGCGTCGCCGGTCATGACCTTCTCCAGCTGTGCCAATGACATAGTGGATACTTGGGCATTGTTTGTAAACGTTTCGTTGATCTCTTTCGGGATAGCCTGGCTACAGCATCAGCTGAGAGAGAGGCCCCTTTCGGTGCCTGGCCAGACAACCCAAACTTGTACACCTGCCTTTGGCAAGGACTGTTCTCTCATCTTTTGAATGTTGATCAGTGCAACATACTGGTAGCATGAGAAGCAGATCAATTACATGGAAGCAACTGCAGCAACGGAGGCCCGAATTTGGGGTGTCTTTGTAGGGTTTTTTGTGGGTCTTGACCTTGTCTTGTCCTTGTCTTGTTGGCTTTCTTTTTTGCTTTCATGGGCTTTCCTGTATTGTGAACTGCAAAGCAGACAACGGACTGTTGTGCGCGTTTCCTCGGCATTTTGTAGAGAACATCTTATATCGGATGCAAAAAATGGAGGCATGGTGAGGGTGGACACCCGAAAACATTCAAAGCCCCCCCCCCCCCCCTCCCTCTTGATTACAACCAAGCCGTCTGTGATTTTGGCCCGGGTGTTTGCTTGCATTACAGCTGCCAATCACGAAATCCCATTTGTTTTAGCCTGTTACCCTCCCCCAGGCCGCAGAAAATTGCGCGGCGACGACTGCGAATGACTGCCATTATGAGTGTTTCTTTTGTGTTATTCCAAATTGCGATTACTGCGTTTAGCAACTTTGGCTGGCTCAAGTGGGTCACATACCAGCATGTTCTGGGATTTCTACCAGGTTTTAGGGTTGAGGCTCAACACCCACAACTTTGGGTGGGACGTCAAGTTTTGCCGGGATGTTGGAGGCTGAGGATGTCCTAAATCTTTCCTGACAGGGTTTAGGGATTAAGAATTGGGTTTGGGATTTTAGGGTTTTAGGGTTCAGGGTCCAGGTTGGGCCTGTTCAAGCAAGCATCACACCGCGTCATCACGCCTGGAATAGAAGTTGTTTCAGTGCCCCTGGAATCTTTTCAAAACCTGTCATTTGAGCATTTTGTTTGCAAAATGCACATGGTGTCCCCCCAACCACCCCCCCCCCCCCCCGCAACTCCCAATAAGAAGTAAACCATAATTTGAACAAATGACTCATCCCGCTCAGGATACCATCGTTTTGGAAGAACCAGCAGAGCTGCCGCCTTTTTTCGACAAGCCTGCCCAGACCTCAGAGCAATGTAGCAGCTGCCGCTGAAGGCTCGCCGCGCTTGGCCTTGGGCCACCAGACTCTAGACTCTCGACTCTAGACATGTTCAGACATGTCTACACTGGTTATGGCATTGTGTCTGTTTATGCAGAGGTGGCACAGACGTCGCCCTGGCTACACACCCCTGAATCGTCGCCTTCGCCCGTCTCTTCTTCGCCGGCTTTGCTGGAACTTGCCGCACAGGAGATTTTTCGGCAGTCAGGTGAAGCACACAGGAATTGTTGTGCATCATCAGCCAAATTCCAGGGGCTGCTGGCCAGTAGTTCGCCCAGATAGGGAAGAACTTTGACCATCCGGGTCGTGCTGGAACCTGCAACATGACCCGCTCAGGAGCCACGCAGCCTGATGGTGATGAAGTTCGGCGGCACTTCGCTCGGCAGTGCTCAACACCTCCTGCGTTGCTCCAGCATTGTGCGGCAGGTCGGAAGGGTAAGAAGGGTAACAGAAGGTAACCGCAGGTAACCGAAGGCAACAGGATATAACAGGTTGCTTCAAAGGCTCCAACCGAAGGCCAGAACAGTTTCTGTGCAGGCCTTGCCAGAGCGTCCTGTGGTAGTGGCAAGCGCAATGGGCAAGACCACCAACGCACTCCTCCAAGCCTCGACATTGGCACTTGAGACCGGCGAGGTAGACATCTCGGCCATCCGGACCGGTTTTGCAGTTCCAAGCAGGATTATGTTTGCATGTGTTTGCATGTGTTTTCCTTGGAATCTGCAGCTTTGGTCTGCAGGACTATGCATGAAAAAACCGTGGCCGAGCTGGGGACACTCGGCCAAACTGTCATGGGGCGTATACTGCATACCTTGTACAAGCTCTTAAGAATAGCAATTGGCCCAATCCCTAGCCAAGGATCGACATGCCAGCGACCATTGTCGATCTTTTGAACGAGCTTGAGAAGGTTCTTAGCGGTGTGGCTCTCCTGAAGGCCCCCATTGGGATCCCATTCAAATACAACTTGCGGGGGGGGGGGGGGCGCACAGGATGACCACTCCGTATCAGCACATGGTGCTGGCAGGAGATCTCCATGCAGACCCGTGATCGCATCGTCTCTTTTGGCGAGCGTCTGAGTGTCCGAACCTTTGCTGCGGCCTTCAACGCCTCACGGCACGATGCCTCCCAGGACTGGGTTCGTAGGAATGAAAAGAAGGTTTGTGTTTGTATGTAGTGGAGCGAACATGTTTGGTGTAAGATTGCATGTGTATATATTCTATATGTATATGGCCTTGTGGCCCTCACCGCAAACCCCAAGGCATTGCCACATTGCCCTAGGAAAAGGCATGTTACATTATCCAGCCACATTCCACTAGAAGACTCCAAAACCAGAACCAACAAAGAGAACACACGTTTACAAGACAAGACAGACAAAGCGAAAAGACGAGACAAACATAAAGCATTGTGTACTTCAGTCATCCCCACCCCAAAGCTAGCTGATGTCGGAGCCATCGCCGAAGCCCTTCTGTCACAGTTGCCTCCAGCTCAGGTATTGTTTGTACAGTTCTTTGGTGGGCACTCCGGGGTACTCGGCAAAAGGTCTCTCCGACCTTCTCCGGGGGGTGGACACTCCGGGGATAAACTACGGGACTCTTTGCGCTCTGGAGGGTGGGCACCGGGCATACTCGGCATTTCAGGGGATTAGCTGCTTAGCACCCAGATGATAGTCGGTGGGCGGTCTCCGCCATGCGAATGGCGATCCCGTGACTCTGGGTGGGCTTTTAGTGAAGTTGGCGTTCCAGGAATATCGGGGGGCTTCTTTTCGGTGGTGGGCACTTCACGGAAACTCTGCAGGCTTCTCTGAGTGTACGGGCTTCTCTGCAGGTTTGTTTGTTTTAGGGAGACTTGGTGTCGGTGGACTCTAAGTGGCATTCTCTGCGGGTAGCACTCCGGGCCATGAGGCCGGGCAAATGACTTACAATCATTAACTTCTAGCACCCACACCGAGGGTGGGGAACAGGACTATTCTCTGGATCCGGAGGACTAGTTCGCGATGGTTTGAAGTTCAGAGGTGTTCATGTTTTGCTTGTGCGTTTTGCTCCTGCCGGAGTATAGTACAAGGCACAACAAACACATATCGTCTAATCGAAAACGCGTTGTCCTCGGAAGAAGCACGAACAACAAGAGACGTGGGCTCCAGGCGTTCTTAAAGGCATTCCTGGAGGCATTGAGAAGATCCGTGGCGCGTTTCGGGGCTGAGTAGAAACCTCGCTTGCCGTGTGCCGTCACCGCGCGTGGTGAAGCCATCTGAGCATGAGTTTGTCTTCCCAACGCCCTATCATTCCTAATACTTCCTAAGACCTCTGACGACCTTCAGCGGCCGCGACTCCGAAATGCCAGCTTGCGGCGTACCCTTCGTCTTGTACTTGCGTCGGCGCATGGAGGATGCAAAGAAGCGGCCAGAGCTGTGGCCACTTTTTGCGGCTTTTGCGGACGTCTCCCTCAACCTGAGGGACATCGCAACAAGCACCTTGGAACGTACGTTCTTTTTCATCCTACAGGCAAGCGTGCGTGCTGGCAATAGGACGATGCGTCTCCTCGCACAGAAATCCCAATGGGCACGAACCACGGCAGCACTCAAACGCGCACCATAATTACTTCACTCCTGGCACAATGGTCGCTGAGGAGAAATACAGAGGCCGCTTTCACATTAATGTTGCATGGCCCAGGATGATAATGCCTGTGTTGCCAGTTCAGAGTGCATCAATGGCCCAGAACGCTAACGAATGCGGGCTGTGCCAGAAACAACGCTCTGAGTCCGCAACACGAGTCGGAAAAAAACCGGCCCCGAGGTAGAAAATCGGGAGGGTCCAGTCGGAAGTTTAGGTTTTATGTTCTTTTGGGTTTGCGCATTTCAGGGTTTAGGCTTTCGGGTTTTACTTTAGGGTTTTGGGACATTCCTGACTGGTATTAGCATGTTTAGGGTTTTGGGTCGTTTTTCGGGTTTAGGATTTCAGGGTTTTTTGGGTTTTTCGGGTTGTTGGGGGTGGTTTTTTTGGGATAGGATTGAGGCGTCTTAGAGTACATCGTTTTAGAGTTTAGGGTTTTTAGGGTCGAGGGCTTTAGGGTTTGGGTTTTTGGGGATTAGGGTTTTAGGGATTCGGGTTTAGTGTTGGCCCCACCCGAAACCCCTCTCGTTAGCTGCCAAGCTGCGCTGTAAATCTTTGGCCCTACCCGACACCCTTCTAGATGCCAAGCTGTGCCTGTAAATCTTCGCCTTTTCTAGATGCCAAGCTGTGCCTGTTTCTGACTCGGTTTGATAATGTCCGCGTTGCCAGGGCATCCCGGCATCCCTACATCCCATGGCCCAGAACTGTCATTGCCTC